TTTCCCTTTCCTCCTCCCTCTCTGTTTCTGAAGAAGTGTGCAGGCACACAAAAGCTTATACCTGGAATAAAACATTGGTCTTAAAAGTGCCACGAGCTTCCATTCCTCTCTTTCTTTCTCTTTCTCTGGCTCTTTCCTTCCTGCTCCCTCCCCAGAGGTGGAGGAGGAGGACCCCTCAGCTAGTCGAGGGAAGGGAGGCTTGGCTTTTTTCCTCTCCTCTGCAAAGTGGAAAATAAGAGAGCCTGGGCAAAAGGAGCTGCGAAGCAAGAACACGAAGCAACAGAGCCAGTTGCTCACGGGCCGGACAGGAGCCCTGCAGGGGCCAGATCTGGCTCACAGACTGTGCGTTTGACACCCCTGCTCTATTACATCACTTTTGAAAAAGTTGCTGAGAATGTAAGGAAAATCTTGCTGGACCAGGCTCAAGGTCTGTCTAGTCCAGTATCTTTTTTTCTGTCACAGTTATTCTGTAGATGCTTTTCAGAAGTCTGCAAGCATCACATTAAGTCAATAGATCTTCTCCATTGTGGAATTTAAAAATCCCTGAATTTCCTTCATGTTAGGTCTTTCTTCCCTATATGAATCTTCAAAGAATTGCTTAAATTTTTCCACTACTTGAGGAGGAGGATCTAACAGAAACCCTACTTAATTTCCTGCTAAAAGGTGTGGCAAAACTTTTCCCATCTAATGACCATATTTGAAAAAGATTTTGTTTCAAGCAAAGTAAGGATTTAGCTGTAAGGTATAATCATATAATTTAAGTTTGTCCTTGGTCAGTTCCATGTGCACTTGTAACTTGCAAGGACTATTACTTACAGTTTCTCCTCATATCTTGTTTGATCTTCTAATCACTTAACTCACATTTTCCTTTCTTTTTAGAATAAACCCTCTGACATATAAAATATCCTTTGAAATTGCCTCCCAGACCATTGTGAATTTAACTTCTTGAATGTGATTCTTATTTTTTTAAAAAATCTTTATCTTCTTATATGCTAAATCTACATTTTAGTAACAAAGTATTTAATTTCCATCCTTTTCTCTGTGGAGCTTTCTTTAATTAGAAATCCAGTATCTAAGAGAGAGTGGTCCGCACATTGGACTAATTATTTTATCTAAAAATATAGTCCATGCAAAAGGGAGAAATTCAGTTTCTCTCTGTCTCTAGGGTACTGTTATATTGTTGTTGACATTTGGTTTTGTGTTTTTTAATTGCTGGGTTTTTGTAAGCTTCCTTGAATCTCCTTTGGGGAGAAATCATAAAGTACAAATGTTCAAATTAAGGATGAAATCGACAAAACCTTTGTATATATGCAGTACCATTTGACAGAGCTGCTACAGGTTTATTTATTTATTTATTTGATTTTTACCTCGCCCTCAAGATAAGTTATACTTTGAATTTTGGTACGGTATTGCATATATACAAAGTTGAGTTATATTCCAGTGATTTTAAAGATATATATTTTTTGAAGGTCTTCTACCAGACCAGAAGTTGCCAGCATAGAAGCTGTAGAACAAGACAGTCGGCAGTGTTCTCAGAAGGCTGTTGTCCAGGCACGATCATCACAACCGACACGTCTTACAAGTATTATTTTGGCTGAAGATGTTAGTAAGTATAATGATGTTAGGCTTTTTAGAGCCTCTTATTATGAGTAAGTTCAATGTTTCTGTAGGGTTGGGACACACAGATGTCTTCTCCATAAGACCCTTAATGAATATATTGAGTGTTAGCAATGCACTTTCCCACTTACCTCTTTCAAATTTGGAACCAGTGAGGATGTGTGGGTGGAAAGACCCAGAACAATGGATTAGAACTGAAATTGGTGCAGAGTTCATTTATGCATCCTGCTTATTTCTACTAGAATGCACTACTTTCTTCCAGGACTGATTGATTTGGAATGATTTGAGCAGAGACATCTGCATCCATCTCAGCTTTCCTGTCATTTGATAGTCAGAAATGTGAAATGCTTGTTGTTGCAAGCACAAATATCCCAGAGATCAGGAAAGATGGAGAAGGCTTCATATATGTCTGTAGATGAGGGAAGGAGAGGGTACTGCAAGGGAGCAGGAATGAGCAAAGTATTTATTTATCTTCTGTAGGAAGAAGCTTAAAAGGTAAGAAAAGGCAATGTGCTTTAAACTGAAAAAAGAGAGAAAATGGCCCTGACCTGGATAGCCCAGGCAAGTCCGATTTCATCAAATCTTGGAAGCTAAGCAGGGCCAACCCTGGCAAGTACTTGGATGGGAGACCTCCAAGGAATACCAGGGCTGGGACGCAGGGACAGGCAGTAGCAAGCCACCTCCCTGAAACATCCAAGCCCTGCTAGGGATCACCAGAAGTCAACCAAGACTTCTGGACACACAAATACAGGCGCACACTCACATTCAAGCACATAAAATACTCACCAAAAAAGAGAGAAAAACTAATTAAAAAAAGAAATGGAAATGTGTGATAGATAGCATGGTAAGACTTGCATTAGTTAACTGTAAGATGTAAGACCATTTTGAGCTGATGATAGAGGTTCTAGGGAAAAAGCCCAATGAAAAAAGCTCACAGAGAAAAGCCCACGGTCATAAATGCCCATGTGGAAAAAAGCCCATACACATAAAAGCCCGCAAAGAAAAAACCCCGCATGGAAAGAAGCCCACATGGAAAAATGCCATGTAAAGCGCCATAGATATTTATAATGGTGGATAACCATTCAGCTCCACTTATGAGAATGAATAGGTATCCTGTATATATAATTGTCTTGAGCATTGGCCATTTCCAGCTCTCCCATGGGCTGTGCTATGCACTCTATCAGCCATTGGCCCATCAACCACCAATCAAGAGTACTCACGTCCCATTGCCTGGTTTCTGGGTCTGCTTCTCTCCCCCGCCCGCTTTCAGCCTGGACACTCTTCCCTCACAGAATTAACTATCGAAACAGCTGTCTCTCCTGATGAAGACATTTATCCTGCTTGGCTCCTGTGGGACTAACTTTTCACTCAGTGGCTTTTGCTAGGCAACCAAGCTTGGTTCTGTCAGTAAAAAGACAAAGGAAGTTTCCAGGCCTTTGTGAGGAACTCATTGGAGCCAGTCCTGACTAGGGTTGCCAGCTCCAGGTTGGGAAATTTCTGGATATTCTGTGTCTAAGGAAGCCAGTCTAAGGAAGCCAAAGTTTGGGGAGGGAAGAGGCCTCAGCTGAACAGAATGCCATAGAGTCCACCCTCCAAAGTAGTTATTTTCTCTGGGGTGGGGGCGGGAAGAGATCTGTTGTCTGGAGTTCAGTTGTGATACCCGGCAATCTCCAGGCTCCACCTGGAGGTTGGCTACCCTAGGCATAGGAGTTAGCGCTTTAGAGCAGGGTCTGCTAGACCCAGGTTCTTGCTGTGGAAGTTGAGTGGGTAATGTTGGACCAGTCACAGACTTTCAGCCTAACCTGCCTCACAGTGCAGATCAAAAGCGGGAGAGGAGAGTGATGTAAGCTGCTTTGGTCTCCACTGTAGAGAAATACTGTACTTTTCCTCCTGGGGAATCATTGCTGCCAATCTCCAGGTGAGGGCTGGCGATCACTCAGAATTACAGCTGTTCTCTAGATTGTAGAGATCATGGAAAGATAACGGTAGGTTGATGGTTGGCTGGGAAGGACATAGGGTTGCCACCTCCAGGTTGGGAGATTCCTGGAGATTTGAGGGGTGGAGCCTGGAGAGGGTGGGGTTTGAGAAGGAGTGGGACCTTAGACAGATACAATGCCATAAACTCCACCCTCCACCAGCCATTTCCTCCTCAGAAACTATTGCTGCCATTCTCTAAGTGAGGGCTGGAGATCACTCAGAATTAAAACTGCTCTCCAGATGTCAGAGATCAGTTCCCCTGGGCAAAATGGCTGCTTTGCTGAGTGGACTCTGAGTCATTAGACCCTGCTGAGGTCGCTTCCCTTCCTGATTGGGTCCCCCCGAGAATAACAAAACCATAAGATAACATTAAATAACAAATAATAATGGAAAAGGCAACCATGTCATCTAGTGCTCTTAATTCCCTATTTCACTGCAGTCATCCCAGTGTAAATTAGAAATGGTAAATTAATAAATTTAAAGTATTTAATTTTATTTAAAAATATTTCTATATATATATAAATATATAGTTTAATTTCTGTTATTGTTTTTCCTACTTAATAAAGTTCATTGATAACGAAATGGTCACTTTTATTTCCTGTATTTTCCCTTTCAAGCCTTTACACTCAAGAGCATTAAAGCCCTCTCCATACAGGCCACTTTTGTATAGTAATGAAGTGATTTACTAATAACATAGCAAAATTATTATTTGATTATAATTGATAAAATCACAACACAGATTGTTGCATGTGAATATAGGTAATGCCTATATTCATTCTCATAAATGGAGATGGTCATCTACCATTATAAATTATAAATATAATACAAATAAATATGTATTATGACGGCAGAAGATGAGCCCCTCAGGATGCTCAGCTGTGGATGTTTCTGATGGTGAAAGGAAAGTCTGATGCTGCAAAGAACAATACTGCATCGGAACCTGGAATGTAAGATCTATGAATCAAGGTAAGCTTGACGTGGTCAAAAATGAGATGGCAAGACTGAACATTGATATCCATCATAGGGGACTGGAAAGCTAAAGTAGGAAGTCAAAAGGTAACAAGAATAACAGACAAATTTGGCCTTGGAGAACAAAATGAAGCCGGGCAAAGGCTAACAGAGTTTTGTCAAGAGAACACACTGGTCATAGCAAACACCCTCTTCCAACAACCTAAGAGGCTACTCTACACATGGACATCACCAGATGGGCAACACATCAGATTGATTTTATAATTTGCAGTCAAAGATGGAGAAGCTCTATCCAGTCAGTAAAAACAAGACCTGGAGCTGACTGTGGCTCAGATCAGGAGCTCCTCATTGCAAAATTTAGACTTAAACTGAAGAAAGTTGGGAAAACCACTAGGCCATTCAGATTTGACCTAGATCAGATCCCTGATGAATATAGAATGGAGGTGAAAAAAATGGCTCAAGGGACTAGATTTGATAGAGTGCCTGAAGAACTATGGACAGAGGTTCGTGACATTGTACAGGAGGCAGCAATCAGCACCATCTCAAAGAAACAGAAATGCAAGAAAGCAAAGTGGCTGTCTGATGAGGCTTTACAAATAGCAGAGGAAAGAAGGAAAGTGAAAGGCAAAGGTGAAAAGGGAAAGATTTACCCAACTGAATGCAGATTTCCAGAGAACAGCAAGGAGAGATAAGGAGGCTTTCCTGAATGAACAATGCAAAGCAATAGAGGAAAACAATAGAATTGAAAGTCAAAGAAGAAGGGGATGGCAAAGGATGAGATGGTTAGACAGTGTTATCGAGACAAAGAACATGAAATTAAGCAAACTCCGGAGCACGACGGAAGACAGGAGGGCCTGGCGTGATGTGGTCCATGGGGTCGCGAAGAGTCGGACTCGACTGTGCAACTGAACAACAACATGGCGCTTTACATGGTGTTTTTCCATGTGGGCTTTTTTCCGTGTGGGCTTTTATGTGTATGGGCTTTTTTCCATGTGGGCTTATTTCCACGTGGGCTTTTTTCCGGTCACCGATGATAGAACCTGGGTAGCGTCCATGTATTGATGGAGAGAGTTGAAACATGAATAACTGTTAAGTGGTAAACCTGTGTTCTTTGTGAATATTCAGTTCTGGGAATAACGTTACATTCCAATCTTATGCTTGTGCAGAAGTAAGTCCAACTGTATTCATAGGATCTTATTGTAGGGCTGTATGTAAATCACGACTTTTTAAAGCAATGGATACTTGGAAATCGTGATCTCTTTTGCATCCTTACAATTCTAAATGCAAGAGATGCATGAGAGTAACTCTCCATATGGTGAAACTGAGATAATATTTAGGAGTGAGAGTACTGGATTAAAAAAGTTTAATGGAGGACGGAATGGATGTGAAATAGATTGTGGAAGTCAGCATAGGTTTCTCAATACATTCTTGATTTGTACAGAGGCTTGGACCAGGTCTATGACTCAGTGATCTACAGTGACCCAGGGACATGCCTGAGCCATTCTAGAATGCAGCTTTGTATTTCCCAATCCCATTTATTTAATATTTTTACATTAAGTGAATACAGTCAACAGGATGGGATATGCAGTAAATCATGCAGTAAGGGTTGGATTGCAAAAATCTGATAAGAGACCTGAAACAAGGCATAAGCATTAACATGTCATATTAAATGATGCAGAAATCAGGATCATACTTACACCAACAGACAGTACATACTATATACAGCTGTATAGTGCATAGTTCCTGTTCCTTTATGAAAGCAGCTTTCTGAACCATTTCATTACAGTACAGTCCTATTAGGTATTTTTAAAAGCTGTCCTGAATAATTCAATTTTGCATAGTGTGCAGAGTGCCAAACGAATGGGAGACTTTCTGACCACCTCAGGCAGGCCTTTCTGTAAGGTGTAGGCTGCAACTGAGAATTCATGTGTATGGGCAGTTGTTTTTGCCCATTTGTGGGTTGGCACCTGCAGAAAGCCCTGATCAGATGAGCAAAACTGTCATGGTGGAGCATGGGGGAGAGGTAGTCCTGCAGATATGAGGCACCAAGGCTATGAAGGGTATTAAATCCAGTAACTGATGGGCAACCAGTGGAATAACTGCAGAATGGGAGTAATATTCATGCTGCGTCCTAGTTCCTGATAATAACCAACCTGTAGCATTCTGTACAAACTAGAGTCTCCAGGTTGACTTTGTTGGGAAATCTGTGTACAGTGTATTACAGTAGTCTAGTGATTACCCAGCAGATAGGGGTTTTTTAGTGCCTTCTGGCTGTATCCAATGTGATCAGAGCATACAAATCAGGATTTTGTCTGGCCTCAAAATTCCCCAGCCTGTCAATTATGTTGACCTATTTGCAGGTCAAGGCAGTTTGTGAGATAGTATAGAATAGCTCAGGCATATCCCCAGTTATTCTAGGCTTTCAAATTGGATGCTCTATGTTCAGTAGGTAGTGGTTTGCCTAGCACCACCTGGTGAGCTCATGGTGGTGACAAGGTTTCAACCAGGCACTTCTGGTTCCCCCTCTAAGGAACAATCTACCACATCTTGAGTCCACCATGATGACATAGCACCATTTTTGAGCCATTTTTTAAACTTCTAAAAACTTCATAATGATTCTGCTTCTGACCACAACGTGGGGGAAATGAGGGGCTCCTGTGTCTCCCCACACTGTTTTTGAAATCCAAAATGGTGGCATGTTTTGAGTGCTGAAAACAGCATGGTAGGGAGACAGGAGCCCCTCATCCCCCATGTGCTATGTTCACCAGCAGGATTGAGAGCCTCACAGCATTTTAAAAGGGGAAAAAGACTCTAAAGTGGTGCTGTGTTCCCATGGTGGATTTGGGGTTTTGGTATTGTCCAGTTTGGCCCTAAGCCAGTGCAGTGTAAGTATAGAAAAAACAGTGCAGTTTTCATGAAATAAGTTCCTTTGAACATGTATTTGTTTTATCATTTTGAGATACTTTTATCAGAGTTAGTAGTAATGAAAGAATTAAAGGGATCTTTTACCTCATTTCATCATTTCCTTGTTGTGATTAATTAGGCAACATCCCCTTTAATTATCCAGTGGGAAACAATCATTTCTTTTTCTGGTCTATAATTGCAAGAAGTTTACATTCATCATTACGCTGATATTTATACCTCTTCATTAAATATGTTAAAGTACCTTTTGAATGGTAGTTGTACCAATAATATTTTAAACCTATGTGAGTAAATGCAACAGTTTGTTTATAGCTAGTAATAAAAATGTAAATCTGTTTGTTGGAATATAAGGGTGTTCTTATACAAAGAGTATGTGTTGTAAAGCTTTGAAAGTAATAGGTCTTGATTTGCCAGATCTTAAAGAATATATGAGGTAAGAATAAGTCAAAATGCCTCTGAAATGTTCATTTTCCTTCCTTCAAAGGAAGTCAAAAACATTTATCCATATTGTTTGAGAGACTAGCTTGTTATTTTGTTATTGCACAGTGATTGAGATAAGCGACTGGAGAAGAATGAAGGTTTGTTAGAGTGTCAGAGCATGATCTAGGAGACCCAGGTTCAAATCTCCAATCTGCCATGGAAGCTTGCTGGGTGACCTTGGGCCAGTCACACACTCTTAGCCTAACCTACTTCATAGAGTTGTTGTGATATTAATCTGAAGGGGATAAATCAAGATGGGTAGCTGTGTTAAGTCTGTCTGTAGCAGTAGAAAAGAGCAGTGAGCAGTGACTCATGAAAGCTCATACCCTGCCACATATTTATTTAGTCTTTAAGGCGCTACTGGACTCTTGCTCTTTTCTACTGAGGAAGGAGAGAATGTTGTACAGAACTTTGAATCTTTATTGGGAAGAATATTGGGGTATAAATGATGTAAATAAATAAATCAGATTGAGTAACATGGTGTTTTCTCATATCTCATCAAGTGACTGGTCAGGTGCTTCGCTGTGATGCTATAGTTGACATAATTCATGATATTCACATTGTGTCCACAACCAAAGAACTGTATCTTGAAGATTCACCACTGCAACTGAAAATTAGAGCATTAGATTCTGAAGGTAAGAGTTTTTGTTATATGGCATTTCATCTTTTGCTCTTCTTGCTCTTTTGCTCTTCTTGTGGCTGTAAAGACTACTTTTGTTTCAAAATTTATGGCTGCTGATTTTTTTGTTTTTACTATGAAATTAGGAAGGCTGGTATGGGTGAGGTTTTGAAATATCTAGTTTCCAAATATCTGTGCTTAGAAGCTGTCCTTTAAAGATCAAAGGAAAAATGAAATAAAGGAAGTCATGGTGCTGATCAATAACATCAATATTCGCTTACATTAGATAGCTGTGATGCTTTCTCATGAATTGGACTAATGGGCAGATGCTGGTATAGGAGATTGTTGTTTCTGTTTCCGGGGGTGTCAAACTGCCTATTAGACGTATTGTACATAATTAATGATATTCACATTGTGTTCACAACCAAAGAAGAGTCACCACTGCAACTGAAAATTCAAGCATTGTACTGTGTACAGTTCTGGTCACTGTATCTCAAAAAGGACATTGCAGAGCTGGAAACAGTACAGAGGAGGGCAACCAAAATGATAAGGGGGTTGGAGCACCTTCCCTATGAGGAAAGGCTGAAGAGCTTAGGACTTTCAGATTAGAAATAGGGGACATGATAGAGTTTAACCAGATTATGCATGGGGTGATGAGAGTTGACAAAGAGAACTTTGTATCTGTCTCCCAAAGTACTAGAACTTGACAGCATCCAATAAAGCTGATGGACAGTAGGCTCAGGATGGGCAGAAGGAAATACTGCTTTACACAGAGACTGATTAAAATGTGGAATTAGCTGCCAGAGTCCGTAGTGATGGCCACGGGAATAAACAGGTTTAAAAGGGGATTAGATAGATCAATTGCCACTAGCCATGGTAACTGAGGGGAACCTCCAATTCAGAGGCACTAATCCTCTGAATCCCAGAGCCAGGAGGTAACATCAGGTGAAGGCCTTGGTCTCTGTGCCCTGTTATGGCCATCCAGAGGAACTGGTTGGCCACTGTGTGAGACAGGACGCTGGACCAGATGGACTATTGGTCTGATCCAGCAGGGCTCTTCTTATGTTCTAAAAATCGTGTGCTATTGCAGTTCTCTGGCCAGTGTTAGAGGAGGAATTTCACTCTGCCAAATATCTGCTGCAAACACACAGCTTCAGCACTGTTCCATATTTTTGCATTTAAAAAAAACTATTTGCTTTGCTTTTCCATTACCTATCAACAATATTAATGAAAGATTTGTTTCAGTGTTGTATTGTTAAAGAATGTATTATGTATCAGTGTATTTTATATACGCTAACTTCAAGCCCTTTCAGCATGATTATATTTTTAAATAATAGTTTACAGTGGGGAGGCAGAATATAATATTCCACATTCCATTGTAGTCACTCAAGTTTCAAAGTAAAGTTCATTATAAAATGCTTTAGTGCAGACTAAGTAAGATTAAAGGCAAGCTAAAGCAAATAAGTGGTTTAAATAGTTATATGACATTTTAATTATAGGAATTTGGCAGTGAAATTAAAAATATTGAGTGTGCTTTAACAAAAAACATGCAGGCAGAAGAGGGTTTTTTGAGTTTTTTTGTATTTTTCGTGTGCGCGCGCATGTGTGTGTGTGAGCGTGTGTGTTCACCTGGAAATCATGGCAACGTCTGGTGACTGACCCCTACTGGGGGCCTGGAAGATATTCAGAGAGGTGGCTGAATGAAATCTGCCCTTATCCTCCCGACTGCTGGTATTCCAAGGAGATCTCTCATCCAAGCACTTGCCAGAGTTGACCCTGCTTAGCATCCAAGATCTCACAAGATTGGGCTTGTCTGGGATATCCAGGTCAGGGTGAAGAGATTGTTTAGAAATGAAAATGAAGTGATGGCTCAAAACCCAGATTTGTCAGAAGAAGGGGAAAGAAACCCTTTTCAGACTTGTGAATTTGTGTTACAAATTAGTTGTAGTAACAGTTAGATTTTTGCCTTGGGAATTGGTAAGAAGAAAGTATTAGAGTCATGTAGTAATAATTGTTGATGTGAAAAGACTGTAAGAGAAATGGTTTATGAATAGTCACTAACAGCACGGTTCTAAGCAAAAGCTACACTTTTCTATATCCATTGAGTTCAATGTATTTAGAAGGGTGTAACTCTGCTGAGGTACAGTGCGATTATGCAACCAAGAATGTTGTCTTAGCTTTAGATTAATGTCCATATGCCATTTCTACTCTTCATATTTCATTAGTTTTGGCCACGTTATTAGCATTTATAGAAGAAGAGCTACACAGCCGCTCTATCCTTCCTTCTGACTGAAAATTATAACACAATAGGCTACAGGATAAATGGCTTGAGGGACAGGGAGGAGTAAACATCTATGGTTTCTAAAAACTTCTTTGCAGGTAATAAGCAATATTTGTAATCAAAGTGTAGCCTGAACATTGACATCCCTGGGAGATGAGGTGTCAGTGTCCTGAAGCAGTGAGGAGCTGGCCTTCAATAATGGTTGTAGATCACCTCTCCCCCAAACTGGCAGGGGTTGATGTAATAGCTTTTAATGAATTATATGCAGTAGTAGCTCTTGAGATTTCAGAGACTTGCAGATTCCTAAGAGTTACTGTGGCAACACAATTACCTGTGCAGTGCAGTCTGTGAAAGGGTTCCGGTGTTACTTCCATTGGCTTCTTTGGACAAACAGCTGCTCATGCTAGTGGTCTAATTGCCATGAGCAATGTAACAGTTGGCAAAGATACCCTTTTAACTTTCAGTATTTGATTTCTTTCACCAATCATAATTCATATGCATAGGCTAGGAAAATGGAACAGCTTGAAACAGTTACTTACTGACATACTGCCCACTTATCAGTACTAGGAATAGGACTAGATTTTTAAAACCAGATATATGGTGTGTTGCAGACTTCTGTAGACTGTGGGATGCTTTGCATTCAGATTGTAGCTCATAGCATGCAGTGTTAAATGAAAAGAAAATGTACTTCTGGAAGATTAAATAATTTAAATTTAATCTCCTAAGGTTAATTATACATTAGTGGAAACTAAGCCTTGATTCATATTGCTTTCATGCCATTTCTAATTTCCCACGGCTTGCCTTATCAGTTACTTTCATTTTTTAAAAAGGTTTAGGTTACATTGTATATGATCTCAGCTCTACACCACAATTTTTTTAATATATTGCACTTGGCTTCTGTTAGTCAAGGGAAGGATGCTGTGACCAAAATTACTCTGTCTACAGTTCCTTAAACTTAGGCAGTAGAATTGTAAGTTAATTCTGCCATGGAAGTAATTATTCCACTTTTACAATAAAACTGTGGTACTGGTTCTTTAAGGTTCCATTTCATTTACCATCTGTTTTTCCTGCTTATTGTGCTTGCACAGGTAATTTCTAGGGTTTGGGAACAGTGTTTTGTTATCTGGCTTTTGATGCTTAATTTCTTGATTTGTTTAAAGGAAACACTTTTAGCACTTTGGCAGGGCTTGCTTTTGAATGGACAATCATGAAAGATCCAGAAGCTAATGGAGTCTCAGATTCCCATAATGCACTGCGGTGAGCATAATTTATATTTGTATTTGTAGACCTTAAGTTATTTTTGCATATCTGCTTTGATGCGTAAAGATGAGCAATAGCTGAATGGGTTGGCAAATGAAATCCCTTGCATATGCACTACCCAGCATCGTCCAGCAAAGGGAATGTGAGTAGTGCAGGGACCTGTGAATGCAGGTGGTTAGAGGGCTTGTCATTGAAGGATGCACAGTCAGGTGGGTGGGAAGGGAGACAGCAGCAGCATTTGGCAGAGGTGGGGAGGAGGACCCTGGGCACTCAAATCTGGAATCCAAAATCGAACCATCCCCTGGAGCCATCCTCTCTTAAGCCCCTTAATGCCTACATCCTTCTCCTTCCTAACCTACTCCAAACAGCTCCTGCCACAATTCTGTTTTCTTGGTTTCTGCTTCCTCTTGCATAAGCTACCTTGAGTCCAAGGAGTAAGCATTTTTAATTAATAAAACACCAAATATTCTTAACCTCATTTCCTTGGCAACCTACTTACCTATATACATCACTTCTGTTTGTTGCCTTGTTTGTCATCTAAACTCACTCTCCCACTGTTTTCCCTTCTTTCTTTTGCTTCTGTTCAGCCAGTGCCTGCTGTTGCAGGCACATTTTCACACCACCTCTTCAGAATGTGCATGGACCCTATATGCTGTTACGATCTGTACGCTGTCCCATTAAGCATTATTCTTTGCCTTTGTCCAAGCCACAGCACAGTAGAAATGAGGGAACAAATGTTGGTTGAGACGCTAGTTTTTAAAAAATACTAGCACAGAACAAACAGCATGGACTTTATTATGTTTATATCCCATCATAGTTCCATCGTGGCACTATGCATAGAGTTTATAGGAGATCTCCTATCTAAGCATTGACCACACTTACCTTAAGCAAAATTTCTGTATCATGTGCTTTTCCCTATCAAATTCTGGACTGTACATAGTTGCTGATGTACAGCTGCTGAACTGATGTACAGAAGCCTCAATTGTGAGTCACCCTTACTATGGTGTTCTCCATTACAGTTTCTGGTTTCCTCTCCTCCTCTGGGAAGGGGAGGTTGTCCAAGTATTTAAAAATTCAGTGCTTTTGGGGCAGCAGCGAATGGTAGAGACCATACATCTCTTCTTAGATCTAACTTGCAATTTAATCCTTATTACTTGCTATGGTGGTTCAGAAGTTTGACTGGCAACCAATGGCTGCATTCAGATATTGCAACAAAATGTGATTTGTTGAACAAGCCATGGTTGGCATAGCAGGTGATCATAACAAATGAGAGTTTGATTGGACCTCCTGATTTACTACCTGCTTTCCTCCTTTGTTGGTGCCAAGCAGAATTTCCAGGTGCTGTCCTGAGCCCTTGCACTGTCCTTCTATAGGCAAAGCATCATTAATCTCACTTCCATTGCAGTTTCTAGAGGAAAGGGATGCATGAGGAAGAGTCTCCTTCAAGAAAAACGTTACTTTCTCACAGTATTTCTCTCCATCTTCTCTGGTCAGGAAGGCAAAAAGAAAGCAACAAACTGACAAAACTAATACAATATATACCCAGCAGAGGCCTGGCCCATCAATCCAAACATGGTCCACTAGCCATACGTGTGTAAACGGTTTTTGCAATGCCATGCAAGCAGCAAAAGCGGGAAATTTACCGAGCCTTTTGTGGGCTTCCATAGATGATGCACAAATAAGTGGGTCAAAGGCTATGGTAATCTTACTGGTCTCAAGCTACCGCTACACATACCTTTATAAAGAGACTTTCATATTGGTGATTTGCAGTTAAAACTGAAATTCTCTTTAATGCTGCATATGAGTTAGTTAATTAAGACGTGCAATAATTGCATGTTCAGCATACATGCCATTAAAATTACTCTTAATTAAAACAAAGCGACTTCAGTAATACAAGGCCTGTGGCTCAGATCCACAAAGTAGCAATAAACTAAGGATTTTACTTTCTTTACATTGTTGGCTAATTCAAATAGTTCAAGGGAAAATTATGGGTTCTGGAAAGTGAGTCAGAAGTATTGATGGCTAGACAAACTTGTAGGATAGTAAAAACTGCCAAGTAGTATGCAGTAAGAATTATAGAAGTATGCCTCTTTTAGAGGAATCTACAGTTAGGATTTTATTCCCTAATGCTACATAGCTTCAGTAATAATCAATATTTTCATTCTCATTTTATTTATTTATTTAGTTGTATCCTGCCTTTCTGCCCTCACAAGGTCCATCAAGGCAGCTAACAATTGAAAACAGACATGATAAAAAAGCATTTTAAAACCATTACCCCTCAATGTACATCATTAAAACAATTAAAAACAGAGGTAAAATACATACATGATATAAAAACATCAATTAAAACGTTGGTTAGGAGGGAGGGATCACTGAGGAAATGGCAAATGAAACAAAAAAGCCTTCACTCACTGGCGGAAGACAGCAACAGACAGGGACAGATGAATCTCCCTTGGAAGAAAGTTCCAGAGCTTTGGTACCATGATCAAGAAGGCCCTCACCTGGGTTGCCACCTCCCTAATCTCTGAAGGTGGAGGCATCCAGAGCAGGGCCTCCAAAGATGATCATAGTGGTAGGGCAGGTTCATGAGGAAATAGGTGGTAGTTCTTCCAGGGACACCCAAAGCAAGGCCTCCGAAGATGATCGTAGTGGTTGGGGAGTAGGTGGTTCTTCAGGTAATCCTGCAAAGTAAAGGTGTATGAGTAAATGTGTTAGTTTATTGCTTCATTAGATTGCCTATTTAATTTGGCCATAGAATAAATACTTAGGATTCCACTGGAGGAGTTAATGGAAAGCGGTCGAGGAGTGGATTATTCTCCACTCACTCTTCCATCAGCAGCCTGATATTTGACCCCAAACTCCGCTCTGATGGTCAGTGAAGTCTTGCAAGCAAAGGTTGAGAGGTGGAATCACGTAAAATTTTTATCCCTCTTCTACTTTCAGCTTTCATCAGCAGGAAAGAGGCGGTTTTACTTGATTCCCCCACACACTACAACCTCCCACCTATTGATGCATGTTGCCTACAACACTTCTGATAATCCAAGAGGAGTTTGAATATAAATGCCAGGCTTCCTGGGAAAAGAGAGAAGTGAGGAATGATGTTTTCCCAACACCTCCCTCTTTGAGTGGATCCAACCTTATTTTATTCCATGGCTTCAGGGTTGATAGCAAGCCATAGAGTCATCCCTCTACAGACCTCTGACTTCCACTGTGGGGTCCATGCCCCCCAGAAGCACCATTATGGGGGGGTGCATTTTGAGTTTCAGTGGAAGGTGAGGAAATTGCACTTTGCAGATGGAAATCCTTCCAGCAGTGGAACTAATTCAAGCCACTGTATTTCAGTGGTTGCTTATTTGTGATTCTGGACAAGATGTTCAGAGTACTTGTTCTAAATTAATCTTTAATTCTGTTGAAAGATTTGGGATTATATCTGCTGTCAAACTCTCAAACAGCTCACAAATCTGTTAGTAGTGAAATCTGTGATCGACAGCTGACCGTGTGAGTTAACTTTCATGGCCTTCAGCTGCGAACATTAACAGCAAAACTGTGGGAAGAAGAAGTGTGACTCACTTGTATTTCTATTTTGTTGTTTGCATTGTCCCTAAAGGACACACACTCCATTTCAGACTTGAATTTTTTTTGTTTCATTTTCCATTTTGATTAAAACCCATTAACCTTAAATGATCTCCAAAAACAGTCTCTTTGGATATTTTTCAAGATCCTCATGTGTTTCTGTACTCCTGTTATTGATACTCTTTGAAAATTGTTCTTCAGTGAAGCTGAATCACGTTGTATATACCTATTTAGTTAGTATCCATCACCATAAATGAAACAACAGATGTTTCATTTGTTAATTTCCGTGGAGCCTCCAAAATACTTTTCTGTTATATTTTGGAATTTCTGACCATATTCAAGGAGTACTCAAAGCACTAAATCAAAATTTCCCCTGTTTCTGCACATTAGAGCCAACAAGAATATTAAATTGATGCTCTTAATCAGGAAGCAACATACAGTAAATTTATACTTCACTTCAACACTGCCATTTATTAAAAAATGAGCTTGGTGCAGATGAAGTTGAGCATGTTTGCTTTCAACAGGAAGGTTAATCATATGCTTAACTTTCTTTTAACTCCTTCGGGATTTAAATGTGTTGAAGCTTAGTAGAGCCATTTTTAAAAATGAAAAATACTGTGCCTTTCCACCAAAATTCAGACATCAGGATTACTTACGAACAGTTATTTAAAGCCGTAAAACAGTGTAAAATAATTAAAATTAGCCTCATAAATAAAAATAAAAAATGTGTAGTAGCTCAAAAAAGCAGGAGATAATTTTGTAACCCATTGAACATACTTACTTATTTTTTATCTAAATCCCAAAGAGGATTTTCACATGATTCCCCCCTCCACTTAATCATCACAACAACCCTGTGAGGTAGGTTAGGGTGAGAGATTGACAGGCCTAAGGTCACCTGGCAGGCTTCCATGGTTGAGTAAGGGATTCTGGTTATCCCAGGTCCTAGTCCAATGCTCTAACCACTACACTACACTCTACCACACCAACATGCCCATTATGTATTACCAAAGTCTCAAAGTTCTTAGATAAGCTGTTATGGGACCATGTGGTTCTTCACTGGAGCACCCCAGTCCTAGGCCCCTTCGGACTTCATAGGGGAAAACAGTAGGATAGGCTGAGAGATTATGATATGTCCAAGGTTACTTGGCATGCTTTCATGGTTGAGTAAAGGATTTTAACCTGGTTACCCTGGTCCTGGTCTGATGCTCTAATTACTACACCACACCAACATGCCGATTATACATTGCCAACTTAACAGCACTTTTAATTGCATTCAGAAGCAAAGTGGCAACAAGTGGCAATCTTCAAACACTGGCATTGTGCATTCAGCACAGTGAATACAAGTGAGTAACCTCAGTGTTTTGGGCCAGTTGCAGTTGCCAAATGTTTTTTCAAACGCAGCCCCATGTTTACATTGCAGTAAACCAAGGCATGATTTCTGTAGCTGGGTATAACCAAAAAAGGGGAGAAAAACACAACCCTGCACGAGAGAGGTAACCAAAAAGGTTGAAACAAAGACAAAGAAAGTAAAACATAACTATGCACATAGTGCAAATGTACAAAATATACTATATAATCTAATTACAACCACGAGTGCTAAAATATCATTTAAAAACAACAGTCCAATGGTTAAGCATATAAGTACCAATATAAAAACAAATGTCCATTCATATAAATACAGGTTAAAAGGTACATGATGTCTCCATATGCAAAAACCAATACCAAATGCATTTCAGCAATAAGCCTTCCTCAGTGATATAATTCAAACTGATCACTCCATTAATTTAATGAAGATATACATAAAACTGATCATACACAGAATGGAGCTTACTCACACTGAGATGTTCACCCATGGAGTAAGTGGGGTCAGATATTCTTGAGATACAACATGGACAACTCATCAAGATGTAAAATATTTCATTAGCCCATGGATCTTTTTAGGTCCAATCTGCAATGCTCATAGCTCCAATGGAGTGCTCCGGTACAACTAGGAAAGAATCAGCCAAATCAGAAAAGACTCAGTTTTAGGCTGAATACCATGTCTGGTCTTTGTATGTGATTAGATACACCCCCTCTAGTAACTTCTTTTGTTGTTGTTCAGTCGCACAGTCGAGTCCGACTCTTCGCAACCCCATGGACCAGCTCCCGCCAGGCCCTCCTGTCTTCCGCCGTCCTTTGAAGCTAGTAACTTCTGCATGCTGTTATATCAGGGAGAGATTTGAGGCTCACCAGGAGATGCTTCATATTTTACAGATGTTAATGTATTTGGTATATATGATTGTATTTCACTAGTAGTTAAAATACTCATAAACATAATGTCTAATATTTATAGTATCCTCAAGTTCTCAGAATCAACATATATACCACCTTCCTATATAATGAAGATGGAAAAGATTGCTAAACAAGGAGACATTGTTTTAGTGTCTGGCATGAAAACAGGAAGTTCAAAATTAAAAGCAAGAATACAGGAATCTTTTTATAAGGTAAGGTATCTAAATGTGATCCATTTTGTACAGCATTATCTTAACAAAATACATTTTCTTTTTTGCAACTACTGTTCACTGAAGTGGCATTAATGTCTGGTATAATTTTGGCACTGTATTCAAAGTAAAATTTAGGACTCCTATACTACCTTAAAAATTGGAAAATTTATTGTGCCATAAGATTCAGAAGCCAAAATGCATGATACATGTATATTGTGGAGGAAAGAGAAATTGGGAAGTGAGATTTTTAGAACGCTAAATCATAATGTTCTTAATGTTAATCTAAACGTTTTATCACTTGACTTTGTTGTATTTGGGTATTCAAAAATTCTTCTGGGATTGTCATTAGTTGCATGTGAATATCAGATTTTACTAAATTTGACTGTAACAAATTTAACTGGTTTTAAAATGTATAAATGGTTCTGATAATTTATGCCAATATGGTTCTGCTTGATTTGACTTGACTTGACTTGACTTGACTGTAACAGATACTTCGTTGTGATTCTTCTGCCCCTTTCCTGTTCTTTGTCTTTCTTTTACCATATACTTTGGTCCATTGTTTTTATATTATTTGAGAAGCTGTTTTTGCATAAATCCTTGGGATACTCCTCTCCATCAGTTGCTTCTGTTGTTAACAGTTTTGGGGAGCTAAAGAAGTGGAAATTGGTACACCCCTATTCATATCATTGTAATTATTACTGGCTAGATATGTTTTGTGAGTTTGTTATTGATGTTCTTTTACTTTTGCCTAGCAAGGGTGTTATGAACATAATATAACATTAAATAAGCAGATAATGGGCTCCATAGTCTTGAGTTTACAAGGATTAAAAATTGCAGAATGATGCATTGTTTTCTGCACATTATAGTTCCTTTGGGTATTCAGATGCCTGACAGGTAAAAATATATATCCATAACAAGTGTGGATTTTGCAAAGCCAACACCACTGTGGCAAAGTCAGCAGGATTCTGTTCTGGTATAACATTATCAGCAGAACTGTTTGTGTGTGTGTGTGTGTGTGTGTGTGTGGACTATTTGTAACATTAAATTTGCAGCAAATTAACTAGGGTTCCCATGGAAATGTCAAGTAATAAAAAGGAAATACACTCATTACTCATTTCGTGAAAATCTGTAACACTAGTAGTGTTACCAACTTTTCTGCTAGTGAACATGAGAGAGAAATAAGTACTTCGGTACTTATACTCCAATTTGAAATGAATTTTCCTTATTAAGTATTTTTAAAGTAATAAGCAACAGCTTTTGAAAGGACAATATCCATACAAATCCCATGATATGTTGTTGTGTTGTGTTTGTGTTTTTATACACAATTTTATACCACACAAAACAGGCAAAAGGCTTTTGTGAAATAGCCCGGAACAGGTATCTTGCACTGATCTTTCGAACCAGTTTCCAACCACTATTCTTTCATTTTCAGCCCCCCCTCTTTTTTGCTTAATGACAGATTTGTACCACTGCACTTTGGCTCTCACATATGGAAAAACATATTGAGGCACCCACATATGGAAGATGTCCTGAGTTTTATCCTGCATATCTCTTTTCCCACATCCCCAATCAATCTTCTTCACCCAACTCATATAAAAACATTAGCTACCACCATCTGTTTTTTCAAGCAACCAGAAAACTTTTTTAAAAATAATTTTCCATATAAGGATAAAAAGATTCCCAATATTATGGGGTTTTATTTTGGTAGCATAAACTAAAGTGAAAGGTAGGTAGGTAGAGTGTATTATGAAAAATCCTAGGCACAGAATTAAAACCAGAAAGTTAAAATAATGTGTTACAGCAGTAATCAGGATGTAAGGGGGACCCAATAGATGTTGTTTACCTTGACTTCCAGAAAACATTTGATAAAGCTCCTCATCAAAGGCTCCTAAATAAGCTCAATAGTTATGGAATAAAAGGAGAAGTCCTCTTGTGGATCAAAAACTGTCTAATTAATAGGAAACAGAGTGAGTATAAATGGGCAATTTTCACAGTGGAGGGTGGTAAGCAGTGGGGTACCACAGGGATCAGTATTAGGTCCAATGCTTTTTAACTTGTTCATTAATGACTTGAGGTTGGGAGTAAGCAGTGAAGTGACTAAATTTGCGGATGACACAAAATTGTTCAGAGTGGTGAAAACCAGGGAGGATTGTGAAGCACTCCAAAGGGATCTGTTGAGAATGGGTGACTGGGCACCAAATGGGGTTCAGTGTGGCCAAGATCAAAGTGATGCACATTGGAGCCAAAAATCCTAAATATAAATACATGTTGATGGGATCTGAACTGATGGAGACTGACCAAGAGAGAGATCTTGTAGTAGTTAATTCACTGAAAATGTCAAAACAATGTACGACGGCAATAAAAAAGGCCAACGCTATGTTGGGGATTATTAGGAAGGGAACTGAAAGCAAATCGGCCAGTATCATAATGCCCCTGTATAAATCAGTGGTGCGACCTCATTTGGAATACTGTGGCCCTGGTCACACGGGCAGGAAAATGCGGGGGGGGGGAAGCGTGGCTGTTTGCCCCAGAGCAAAATAACACGCGGTTGTGTGATCAGATGTCCTGTAGCGTGATCAGATGTTCTGTAGAGGTCCTGTGGTTAGGGGGGAGGTGCTGATCACAGGACAATCCTGCGGCGCGGCAAAGAAGCGGCCTCTCTATCAAAAGGCTCCGCGGGTTTAACCCCTTCCAGGGCTGCAGAGGAATGCAAACTGTGTCCTCCGTCCGGTCCCCTCCAGAAGCTTCAGCCAGGCCGCCCTCCCGCCACGTCCCTCTGCACCTCCCCCTCTGCCGCCCGGTGCAGAGAGTTCCTCTCGAGCAGGCCGAGGCAGGGGGGTCCTGTGATGGAACAAGGAACGCTCAGTTATTCTCTTAGTTCATTTATCCTTCACTGGCCTTACTTTTGCACCGTATTCTAAAAGGCCCTAGGATCCCTGAAAAGCTGCATCCAGGATGGATCTAGATGGATCTAGAAGAGACCATGGATGGAGAATAAGAGAACTAAGCAGAGGAGCACAGGCATCCTGGCTGAGTAAAGCTTTGATTGACACAGAGCAGGAGAAGGTCAGTGTGCGACTGCAATGAAAAAGCCCAATGCCACACTGTGGATTATTAGGAAGGGAATTGAAAACAAATCAGCCAGTATCATAATGCCCCTGTGTAAATCGATGGTCCGACCTCATTTGGAGTACTGTGTACAGTTCTGGTCACCACACCTCAAAAAGGATATTATAGCATTAGAAAAAGTGCAGAAAAGGGCAACTAGAATGATTAAAGGGCTCGAACACTTTCCCTGTGAAGAAAGGTCAAAGCACTTGGGGCTCTTTAGCTTGGAGAAACGATGACTAAGGGGTGACATGATCGAGGTTTACAAGATTATTCATGGGATAGAGCAGGTAGAGAAAGAAGTACTTTTCTTCCTTTCTTACAATACAAGAACTCGTGGGCACTCAATGAAATTGCTGAGCAGTCGGGTTAGAACGGATAAAAGGAAGTACTTCTTCACCCAAAGAGTAATTAACACATGGAATTTACTGCCACTGGAGATGGTGGTGGCTACAAGCATGGATGGTTTCAAGAGGGAATTGGATAAACATATGGAGCAGAGGTCCATCAGTGGCTATTAGCCACAAGGTGTTGCTCAAGTGGTTAAGACGCTGAACTGCAGACTGGAAAGCAAGAACTTGCAGTTCGAAAGCAAGAACTTGCAAGTAGATAAATAGGTACTGCTTCAGTGGGAAGGTAACAGCGTTCTGTGTGCCTCGGCCTCTAGTCATGCCGGCCACATGACCAAGGAAATGTCTTTGGACAGCTCTGGCTTTTCGGCTTGGAAATGGAGATGAGCACCGCATCCCTAGAGTTGGATTCGACTGAGTTTCGAGCAAGGGAAGACTTTACCTTTACCTATAGATAGGAACTCTAGGTCTGGGGCAAGTGATGCTCTGTATTGTTGATGCTTGGGGGGCAAGAGTGGGAGTGCTTCTAGTGTCCTGGCCCCACTCGTGGACCTTCTGATGGCACCCGGTATTTTTGGCCACTGTGGGACAGTGTTGAACTGGATGGGCCTGATCCAGCATTGGCTTCTCTTATGTTCTTGTACATTAGAAGGTAAAAATCAGAAAACGTCTTGAAAAATAGCAAAAGGTAATCAAAAGGTCGTTCTGCACTATCAAATGTATTGCAGTTACCTTGCTGCTATAACAGGAGACCCCAGACAACACTGTTATCAGTTTGTTCTCTTGTTCTTTCCCTTTCATGGTCCCATTTTCCTAGGAGCTGATTTATTCTGCTTGTTTTAATTTTGTATTGAATAGAATCTGTGTTTTGGGCACTGGCCTGTGCACTACTATTACACAGTGTTCTCAGGATGATGTGTTTGGTGCATCTTAGAAAATAGTTCCAGTTGGCAGCCTCCAAACTGATTGCTGTAGTCACCTACTTTTAAAAAAATGTTTTTGATTTATTCTGCTTGTTTTAATTTTGTATCGAATAGAATCACACTCTCTGTGTTGTGGGCACTGGCCTGTGCACTATTATTACACAGTGTTCCCCGGATGATGTGTTTGGTGCATCTTAGAAAATAGTTCCAGTTGGCAGCCTCCAAACTGATTGCTGTAGTCACCTACTTTTAGAAAAATGTTTTTGGTAGTGCTGCTCAGTGCTGCATGACACAGCTATATAGGAGGTATCTATAGCCCTGTTCAAATGAACAGAGTGATAGGAAGGTTTCATTGGAGCATTGGTGATAGCGCTACTAGCAGTTAGTTTTTAATGACAGTGTCATAATTTAATTTATGAACACTAGTAAGTGCTCAAAAATGTATAAGGTTGAACTCTGTGCTGCCTCTCATATAATGTGATAGTTATAAAAAACAATAAGAGGAGCTCTTTGGAGGATGAACCCGAGCAGTGTTCCCTCTAAGCTGAGTTGGTGTGAGCTAGCTCACAGTTTTTTAGCCTCTGGCTCACAGATTTTTGCCCTAGCTCAGGAAGGATGGCCTCAAAGCAAACTAATTCATGAAGCAACCTAATGGCTCGCTGACAACTTTAATGCCCATAGCTCACAAAGTAGGATTTGTGCTCACAAGACTCCACAGCTTAGAGGGAACATTGAACCCGAGTATGACTCAAGTGGCATAGGAGCTGGCCCCACGGTAGCCAGAATACATCTCTCTCTTATTTGGTGCAACAGTACCAAGAATTATATCACCATCGTTGGCTAAAGGCACAGCATAGACAGCTGTACTTTTCCATGTGAAATTTTTTTTGTAATAAAAATTTAGACTGGATGGTGTACAGTTATACAGGAAGATGAATCTAAAGAAAATTATAAATAAATGGAATTAATTGTATCTGAACACAATAACGTTTATGCTGCATCCATAATTTTCAGTGCTTAAAAAATGAAGTAATCACAGGTTCTGCAGGAAATTGTGGGTTGAGGAAGGGAAGGGAATAAACTATGAAGAAATTGCTCAAATAATATAGTTCTGCTCCCTGCCTCCAGCACTGTAACACAATATTATTCAGCTCTGGGGCTAAATGAGTAATTTCCTGCTCACCTAGCCTGGCCTAAATGTCTACTCTTTCCTCTCTGACCATTTTTCTGTCATGCTGGTGATGATCTATAAAGCGTAGGTGCTACTGTGAAACAATGTGTGTCCTGATTTTTGCACATTCAGAAGATATTGCAGTGTTAATTCCTAATCCCAGATTTTAAAATAGCAATGATTGTCTCTTTTTCTTCCTTTAAAATTTACCTCATGACTGGAGGATTTACCAAACCTTAATGGTTTCTTTCAGTTAACACCAGCGTGTATGTGGGAATACTTTTATTCATTCCTCCCCTAGGTCTTTTTTTTTAGATGTTTAACTTCAGTGATAGACAAGTTAGCATATATTTGAGTGAATTAATGTCAAGTTAATTCTATTTTAAAATTTATTTTCTTTATTTAGCATTTTATCTTATTGTGGAAGATTACAAGCTTATCCGTTTTTAAATTGGTTTGACTTTATTTGATTTACTAATTTTGTATTTTAACTGATTCCTCATCATAATGTTTCCCTGACTATATTGAGTGGGTTAGATCTTCTTTAGAAGTTGTCAAAAATCCCTTTTCACTATGTTCCTTGTAACTTTTGTGTGAGCTCACTGAAAGCTGAAAATTGTACTTCAGATATCTGCATGGCAATACAGATTGCTATTGCTTAAGTTAACTTGCCTTCTTTGATTATCATTGAAAAGTTGACATCCATTCCATTTCTCAAAGGGACAAACCTCTTGCTCTCAAGAAAATATAATTAAACCTATAGAATTTAGTAATACACATTCATTCTGAAAACTTCGCAATAGAATAGTGTTTTTCTGTTGTGCAGATAGATTGCTGTAGGTTATTTTTTAAAATATGGACCAATGGATAAAGCATGATAACTGAAAAACCCCAATTGTAAAATTTTAAAAACAAAAACAACTGTTTAAAAAACAGACCTGTTACTTAGAGAGCAATAATGACTAAACTTTGGGCTTCCTCATATGTCCAGACTGTGGCTGAGTTCAGACGGCCATTTCATCCGTTGCCATTCCCTTACGGATTTAAAGTGCATGATCAGACAGCAACAACTGTCTGTCATGCCACAGTCGTCTGAGTCCCTCCCCCCCTTTGCTGTGTACTTCTTTGAAATCTAAGAAAGTCCAGTCCTGTTGATCTGAGCTGGTTCCAAAACGGATTTCCTGCTGTCTGATAGCACCCAAGCGGTCAGGCAGGTCTGACTGGTCTCTTGTTTTCCAGCCGCCATTTTGTTTTACTAGTTAGCGAGGAGCACATAACTGCATATATGAACCTCTCTCACCCCTCCCCCCGGGGCTGCTCAAAATGTTGTTTTCTTTTTAAAAACTCTCAAGATAGCTTTTTTCTTTCCTTTGGGGAAGGGGTAAATTGAAAAGATTAGAGGGAGGATGGCTGTGAACTTCATATCCCAGCAGTTTCAGCAAGTGCTTGTGTGCATGCTCAGAAAGCAAACTTTGTTAAAGAAAGGGGGGGCAACATCCCCATGAACTACATATCCCAACAGGCTGATCAGTGCGTGTGGGCATGCTCCGAGGACAAACGTTTTTTAAAAAATGGCTGACTCCCTACCAGCTGCCATCTGATCATGTAAAAGCGCTTTGAAGTGTGCTAAAAAGGGTGAGTCTGATCAGAATTCTCTGTCACAAAATAATCTGACTCAATTAGAGGCAGGGCAACAGTGGATTGAAGTGCCCATCTGAACGCAGCCATAGTTATGTTTCAGAATGATGTTATAGTGTGCAGATGGCATTTGTGGTTTATCGTTAAAGTATTGTGTTCTGCCTTTTTGTAATGTCTTGAATTTTTATTTCACTATTGTAAGAAAATAGAGTTTGCCAACTTTTGTAGGAAAATAGACATGTACAGTCAGAAATCTAGTTTTATTTGCTCTTATATGAAGCCATGAAAGTTCAGTGATACTGCAAATTCATGCAAAACTAAAGTACAGTTTGTATGATTAATAATCTCATCGTTTATTTTTTAATGAAAGACATTTTTATCACTTATAGTTAATAGTTTCAGGGGGTAGCTATGTTGTGGGTAAGAAGTTATTTAAGGTAGGAGGCTGCCTGTAGGCGAAAAAAGGTTTGCCTCCCAATGCCTGTGAAAGAGGACTATCATTTTCCAGTTTAGGTTGTAGGTAATTAACAATGACTTGAACTGGTTTGATGTTCTGTATTTGTTTTGCTTGGGCCTGTTATGCAGCAGGTTATCCCTTTGTATCATTCTGGCTTTGTTGATTTGTTTCCTTACTACATCAGGTTGGTATTTGTAAGTCCAAAAATGTCTGGTGTAGATCTGCAGGTGAGAATCACTGTCTGAGGGATTGGAACAGATGTAGCTGTAGTGTAGAGCTTGGCTGTAGACAGTGGTTTGTTTGGTATGTTGAGGATGGTGACTGGAGATGTGTAGATAATTTCATGAAGGTTTATGAAGCTATTATTTCTTTGTAAATATATACATGTATGCTGAGAATTACTTTAATTTACATGTATTTTTCTTTTTACCAAAAGAATGTACGAGCTGCGGAAGTCAGATTGTTCATTTTGGAAAACATCCTTCTAAATCCAGCTTATGATATCTACCTGCTGGTAGGAATGTCAGTACAATACAAAGTTCAGAAAATAAGGCAAGGGAAGATTACAGGTTTGTGTTTTTCCAACTTTGATGTTTCATATTAGATGTAAAAAAATCTGCTGCAGACTGAAACACAAATCCACCCTATGTGTTCACAAACTTGTTATATTGGTGTAGTACAATTTACATCAGCATACAGTTCTAAGCAGACTTATACTCTTTTAAGTTTATTGAAGTCAGTAAGCTTAGAGGTGTGTAATGCTGTTAGGATAGCACTGTAGGTCTGCAATAATATTTGTAGTCTGCAAGATGTTGCCTGTCACATTTGGATGTCTCATTCAGTATTCACTCTGCTATATATTCCAAAGGTTTCATTAGGTTCATATCGACCTGAGTGCTATCTTACTACTCGTGCTCTGATATTATAATAGCCAGTGTGGTTTGTCTCAACAAAAAAAGTAATTCTTTTCTCTTTCTTATCAGTGAGACTTACCTGTGTTGTAGCTTGAAGTAGCAGGATTTGCCTTTACCACTAGCAGGTTGGAGTAGTGTATTTTGACATTGTGATTCTCTTTTAGTTAAACCTATTTGCATATTAAGCTTACACAACCCCGATGGTTCAAGATGACTAACAACATTTAAAACAGAGGGTGCTCTTTTTAAAACATATTTATGTCCCATCCTTCCTTCAAATAGCTCAGGGTGTCATATCTGGGGGTTGACTGATTTTATTCTCTTTAGAAACCTGTGTTGGATGTATGCTATGTTGTAGCTTAAATGGAAGCCCATGAGCTTCATAACTGTGGAACCAACCATGGCTATGACTGGAAGAGCAGAACCTAATCTTTTGAGACCAGGATCCACAGATTTACTTTACGGGTGCCCAGGTGCCTAGTGGGATTTATTTTTTGTTTACTTGTTTCATTGATTAACAGACCACTGCCCATCCTTCATTTACAACAAATCACAAACTAGTTAAAATTCTGTGTTTTCAGTTCTTAAAGTTTGCCTTTGTGAGCATGGCTTTGCCATACTACTTTGGAAATAATGTGAGAATTTCTAACACATTGTTTCACAATCAATTATCAGCTTTTCTTTTCTTTTTTCTTTTTTTAATTATCAGGTTTTCTGATAATGTAACATGCCTCTTTAATATCATTAAGCCATTACAATTTTTATTTTTTCCAGTTTCCTTGTTCAAGATATTGTTCCAGTTACTTCCTTAGGAGACAGGGAAAATTTGTGAGAGTGATCTCATGACTGGGAAAGTAATTGTGGAAACTAGATTATACGCCTGAAAATGTGAAAAACGCTAAACACTTACGCATACCCTAATTTATGGAACTGGCAGAAATATTGTGAATCACAAATGAAATTGAAGTAAATGCCTTTAGTAACAATGATAATTTTAAAGAAATGGAAATGAAGCTAAACAGGAAATGAAGATAAACAGGTGTCAGAGGTAGCTGGGGTGCGTTTCATTAGCTTTGTCTGGTGAGCCAGCTGCAGCCCTTCCTGGATAAGAAAGATCTTGCCACTGTGAAGTGTGCCCTGGTAGCATCTAGATTAGATTACTGTAATGTACTCTGCATAGGGCTGCCCTTGAAGACTCTTCAGGAGCTACAATTGGTACAGAAGAAGAGAAGAGATTGGATTTATACCCCGCCCTTCAATACCCAAAGGTGTCTCAGAGCAGCTTACAAACTCCTTTCCCTTCCCCTCCCCACAGCAGATACCCTGTGAGGTAGGTGGGGCTGAGAGAGCTCTGACAGGAACTCCTACAAGAACAGCTCTTATCAGAGCTATGGCTTGCCCAAGGTCATCCAGCCAGGTGCAAGTGGAGGAGTGGGGAATCAAACACGGTTCTCCCAGATTAGAGTCCGCGCACTTAACCATTACACCAAACTGGCACAGAATGCTGTGGCCAGAATGTTGACTGGAGTAAGGACAGTATCATTCCAATTGTTTCCATCTACACTGGTTTCTATTTATTTTCACACTCAGTTCAAGGTGCTGGCATTAACCTTTAGAGTCCTATATAGTTTGGGGCCAACATACCTGAAAGATTTCTTCCATATGAGCCTACCTGTCCACTCTGTCACCTTTGGAGACCCTGCTTCAGGTGCCCCTGCTATCTGAGGCTGGATGGGTGGCAACTCTAGAAAGGGTGTGCTGCCAAACATTGTGGCAACCAAACATTTGAAACTCCCTGTCCAGGGATATTTGTCTGTCTCCCTCTTTTATCGTCTTATGCCAGAAGGTGAAGACTTTTTTTATTAGCATACCCCCAGTAACTCTTATTGGCCCTCCTCCCTGGTTCTGTTGTTTTTGTATGTTGTTCAGTTGCACAGTCGAGTCCGACTCTTCGCGACCACATCACACCAGGCCCTCCTGTCTTCCATCGTGCTCTGGAGTTTGCTTAATGTTATGTTCGTTGCATCGATAACTGTCACCATCTTATCCTTTGCCGTAACAACATAACAACCACCCATGACCGGAACTAAATCAGCAGATTGGGACCACATGCAGGCTATACAGGACTTTCTGCACACTTGGGGGACTTCCCAGATGTTCAGGAAAATCTGAAAACTACAAAAAATATATGGGGGCTTAAACCCCTCAAAAAGTACAGTGCAAGCACACAGAACACACTTTGTCAGCGGTGTGGTGCCAGGGAGCTGTGCTGGGTCCAGAGGTGGTGGCTGCAAAGCCCTGGGCTCTACACTGGGCCCAGCGGTGGCGGTGGTGCCTACACATCCCAGGGCTCTGCAGTATCTGTGCAGCCTGGGAGAAGCACCAGGCATGCTGCTGTTGCAGCCAAGGAGATGCACCGGCCATGCTGCTGCAGCTCAGGAACTGCACTGGGCATGCTGGTGGTGGTGGTGGTGGTGCAGCCTGGGAGTCATGCCAGGTCTGCAGGCAGCTGAGGCATAGAACTGGAAGTTGTGCTACTTGTAGGCCTGGCTAGAAAGGGAGGGGGTTGAGGGAATCCCCCCCCCCACAAGTATTGTGGGGCTACATTTGTTTTATATATATCTTATTTGAAATGCTGATTTAATGTTTCAATGATTGCTGCCTTGGGGACCCTATTTGGGTGTAAAGGTGACATAGAATTGTTTTAAACAATTTTTTTTTAAAAAAGGTCTTGGGTTCAGCTTTTCGGTAGTCCTTTAAAAAAACTGAATTCCATTATACTACTCGTGTCTTATAAGCATTTTTGTCATTTTACCTGAGTACTTATGCTTAAGAAAACATCCAAGCTAAGTGAAGCGTTTAACTAAGTTTTGTTGGTTTTTGGTTTTTGTTAAAATGTTCTTAAATATGTGCTGGGCACTCTAATTTATCAGTGGTTGTGGTGTTATTGTTGTGTGAATCACCAGGATCCAAATAGTGATACCTTATAGTTGTTTCTGGTTGTTGTGCTTTCTTACTTTATATACAGAATTAATGATGCCTTCTGATCAGTACGAACTGCGACTTCAGAACCACACATTCAGCCCTGAGGGAGATACAGCCTGGCCCATTGCCAAGCTGGATCAGGCAACATCCACGGTTACTGCATTGCAGCGGGGACAGACTAACATCGTACTTGACCACAAAAATATCCTTCTGTATTGTGTTATTCAGAACAACAGATTTCTGACTTCAGCCTAATAGCTGAATAAATTTAATATTCTGATTCATGCAGTAGTCTATGAACTACTCACCTCGTGTTCAGAGACCTCTTGGTGATTGTTCTATCAACTGCCAAAAGTAGTGTCCACCCAGTAGCATGCTGCCTAGTAACAGCTAGCTTCTTCAGATAACAGAAAGCAACATGCAGGTCTCTGTGACTTTCTTATTCCTCTCTGCCATTAGAAGAAGCTGGACAAGTCAATGTAAGAGGCCTGTATCCAGCCTAAAGAGCCTTCCTCCAGCTTCAGTGTCTCTTATGCCAGCAGCATAACATAAATTGGAGAAAGGCTCCTTAGGGTGGAAGACGACTTCAGACTTTGTTGAGTTTAGTCATAGGATACAGACCAGTGGCATTGAGAGCGGCTGCAAGGGAACCTGGAGAATGCCTGTATTGACAAGTTTAACAGCTACTGCTACAGTCACCTGGAGGCCTCTTCTCTGTGAATTAGACCACAGTGGCTATGAACAATATGACATGGCCTCACAAGTGAATATTGCCTTAAGTGCAGTATTGCTATTTGTTTTCTTTATTTTAATTCCTTCACTTTGACAAGTATGAAAAAATGTCATGAATTTTATTTAAACTTAAAAAAAGACCTTTAAACTAAACTTCTGGGTCTTCTAATCTTTATTGGAATAGTTGTTCCTTGACTGATTTCCAAGCATTAGTATGCAGGGTGCTTCTAAATTACCAAATGGTAGTATTTATGTTGTGGACCCAGGATACTTAGGTTAGTATTGCATGTTTAGTGTTAAATTGTCAGTTTTTCTTGTTTACTTTGGAAAAAAATATTTAAATACCACATGTAATTCTAACAATAGTAGTTAAATACTAAATTGTCAGTTTTTCTTGTTTACTTTGGGGAAAAATATTTAAATACCACGTGTAATTCTAACAATAGTAGTTAAATAAAATAACTTCATATATAAATTTATACAATAGTAAAATGATATGTTGTTTATGTGTGGAGCTGCGGTGGCTCAAGTGGTTAAGACGTTGAACTGCAGGCTGTGGAAGGTCGGTAGTTCAGCAGTTTGAGACCTGAGTGTGCCGCATGACGGAGTGAGCTCCCGTCTCTAGTTTCAGCTCCTGCCAACCTAGCAGTTCGAAAGCAAGAAATTGCAAGTAGATAAATAGGTACCACTTCAGTGGGAAGGTAACAGCGTTCCGTGCACCTTGGTGTTTAGTCATCCCGGCCACATGACCACGGAAACGTCTTCAGACAGCGCTCACTCTTCGGCTTTGAAACGGAGATGAGCACCGCAACCCTAGAGTCGGATTCGACTGGCTTTCGAGCAAGGGAACCTTTACCTTTACTTTAAAATGATATGTAAGTCATATAATGCCAAGTGTATGGGGGGTAGTCTTGAAATCTGCATGACCAAAATTACATTCTCATACTTAAGACTTCTGCATGCCTAGTACCCTGAGCATTTCATTGTTAAATAAGTTTCTTTACTTCCCCATGCTCTGAAGTCCCTTTTCCCCTTTTGCAACTAGTTAGTTAGGAATGTGAAATAAGTACCTGTCGTTTGAATAACTGATTTTCATCAAGTAATTTGATAATCTGCAGAATTTTCTTACTAAGCCAAAATCTAAGCCTACATAAATGTTAGAATTCTCTTTTCAACAGTACTGTAGGGGTTTTTTGTAGTACTCTAATGCTTGCTAATAAGATATGTGCTTCTCAATGCATTCTTGCTGTATAGGATTTTCAATTCACCCTGGGGACAGATGGGTCCTGGAAACAGAAAGGCTGTATGAAATAACAATTGAAGTATATGATAAATCTGGTAATAAGGTGTATTTGTCGGATGTAAGTAAAATACAGGTATATGGTTTCTTATAAATGCTTTAAAGCATGTGTGCTTAATTAAAATGTCATATATTGAAGGATTTAAGTTGCCACATTCTTCTCATTTTTTCACTTACCCTGTCTTGTAAATTATGTAAATAGGTATTCCTTTGTGTGTCAAACTACTGTTTAAAAGAACAAAAATAGGGCAAGTAAAAAGATGCTACCATGGTTGAAATGCAGTCAGGTCAAAATTGTGATTTATTACTGACTTTTAAGTGTTAAGATTAAAGCTGATTTAATTCCTTGAAATGTGAGTAGTCATTTATTACTGACTTTTAAGTGTTAAGATTAAAGCTGATTTAATTCCTTGAAATGTGAGTAGTCAAAATTAACTTTTTAAAGTATTTGTATTTATATTTTAATTACTAAGCAATAACCTAAGTTGAAACTGGAATTTATATATTGGAGAGTGAATTTATATGGGTCCCAGTTGTGCACTTTAAAAGGTAGCAGTGGACTAGCCAAACATTATGATCCACTCTTAAGCAAGGGAACTACACTCTGGTTACCCTTAATGAGAATCTGGGAAGAACTTTTGATATTCCAGTTTTTATATTTGCCAGTAGGTTTTGTTGATTTAACATTTATTACAGGGCTTTTTCAAGCTAGAGCTCTTAATTGGCATCACAGTATGGCTACATCGGAGAGCTTAGGAAGGAAGGAATTAATTAATTCAGTTTGGCTGTTTGGTTTTTATGTTTATTGTCTTGCCACTTAGGTGCAGATTTTTTTATTAGATGCAGAGTATATATTATAGAAGTATAGAGGTAAAAAACCAAATTGGTTGCTGGAAGCTTCAAAAGGTACCCATTCCAGGTTAGTTCTCTAAACTAGCATAGTTTGAATGGGTTCCCTTCCATCGTGTTTTCATTTGGTGCTCAGTTGCTGCTGGTCACGTTCTTCAGCAGCGTTGTGACCAATTAAAATCTCAGTGTTCCTTTGTACCAAAACAAGAAGAGTAATGCATGATCTAAAAGTGACAGGAACACTATTTCAAATGGTTCCATATCACAACATCAGAAATACCGAATATATATTTTCAGTAAGATATTCAGTAATCACACTTGCCTATTTAATTTCAGAATGTCAGGATTGATACATACTTTGCAAAAGAATACTTCACAGTTCTGCAGTCCTCTCTGAATGGATCGTATCACCATGTGAAAGCAATAAGGGAAGGCCAAACTATTATTACTGCTTCATTAACATCTATTGTGGATCAGGTATGTCTGCTTAAAGAAAAACCCGTTTCAGATATGAAGCATTTTATCTGAAGTAGAAAATTGAAAATATAGTAGCTGGAGGTTCAAAGCAGATAATAAATATTTGCAGACTTCAGCAAAACTGGATAATATACTACACTTCAATTATAAACACATTTATTTCAATGAGATTTACTTATAGGTAATTGTCTTTACATGTTTGTGACCCATTCGTAAATTATTTTGGAACTAATGGAACATTTTCAAGCCAATGAATTTATGGCTGATTTGTAAAAGTCCTGCTCAGATCACCATGACGTATTTTTAAGTGGTGTATTCACTAATGTAGTAAAGCTTTTCTGGAACTGTGTTGCTGTAGGCTGCACTAAAGATTGCATGTCTGAAAGTTCCATCAGTGATAAAATAAAATTCCACTGTTCACACAGAAAATAATGTGTCTAGGAGAAAGCTGGACTGATAAAGGTAAGGAGATATGAAACAGTAATAGTAATCTATAATATTCTTGTAATGAACTGATGAAACATTAGGACAGCACAGAGTTCCAGTGTGCTCCCACAGCCTGCGTCTGTAGGTTAGATCCAGATTCCTTTCCTATTATTTATTAGCTCATTTGACCAAAGGTCTCAACCTTAAACCACAGCAAAGTTAAGAATTATAACAACATAAAATATTGCATAAAACAATTAAAACAGATCCAAAGATACATTATATAATCATCAAGAACCATCACAAGATTACAAATATCGCAAAATAGGAGACTTTAGATACGTATTAAAATAGAAAATAAAATATCCCAATAGGATAAATAAACATGAACAATATATGAGTGAAATAAAATAAACTTTCTGCTAAAATCTCCGGAATCTGGAATTAATGATACATTAAGAGCCCATTAGATCATATAGACTAGGCCATCATTTCATTTATAGCTAACAGGCACATTCTTTGGTGTTTAAGAGAGATCACGACTGTCAGGTATTTTGCAACACAGCGGGTTATTTCTGGATCAGAATCTGCCAATAGTGGAGATACCACCCAGGGTTCCAGAGGAAGTTGATATTTAAACAGAATCGGGGTAATTCAGAGGGACCTGGGGACTGTTCATAGATGGCAGAATAGTAAAAGATGTTCAAGTGTCTCTATTGCTCCAGAAGCACAATTGCATAACCTGTACAAATATGGCATTTTTGCAAAGCAACCCTTTTGCTCTGCAGTCAGAAAACTGTTTAATCTAGCAAGCATAAAGTCATGTCTATCACTGGGGATTGAAAGGAATCTCACATATGGAGGTAGGATCGTGGGGAGAAGAATCCCTAATGCAAGGGGGTTAGGGCCAGATTTAAATTTTCTGTCAGTGGAACACTGTTTCTCCCCCTCCCACTGCAGCCCACTGATCTCTACAGAATGCTGTGGGGTAGCAGACCCTGAGTAATAGCTGGAGGATGGTCTGCAGTGGGAGGAGTAATTAGTTGAAATTGTCATCTTACTATAGATCCCACTCATTGGTTCTCAGACACCTTGCTAACAATTTACCTCATGAAATAAAGTAGCACTTCAAGTGCTGCAGATCTTTCAAGACAGGTCCAAACAATCTGAGATGCTTGTCAGCTGATTTACTTGGATAATGATAATGAACACTGTTTCTTAGTTAGGAATGAAGATGTTTTTACAGCATAGGGAAGAATGTCTGGTTTAGAAGAAAGTGGTTTTGTGTAACAGTGTATTTTTAGTATGGAATTAGTAAAAAATGCCATCTCCTGAGCACAAATATGTAGCAGTCTTTCCTTGTAATATGTGTATTCCTGGTGGCTTGAAGTGCAGTGACCCAATCACAGTGTGGAAAATAAGTAAATAAAAAGAATTTGGTAGATTTTTCTTCTGAATAAAACTTTATAGGATTATATTTTGTACCCACAATATTGTGTGGTAAAATGAGCTTTTACAGGCTTTCCAGTTTTACCCTGGTGAGGGAAGTACTGGGCTAATCAGGGTCCTAAGCTGCTATGCCTCAGTAAGGGTATTTCTTTTGCAAATACTGTGTGCATTTACATGAAAGTAAACTCCATTAAGCACAGTGGTATTTATTCTGATTAAACATGCACAGGATTGCACTGTTCTTCTTCCAGCCTATTTCTATCATCTGAATGGGGGATGGGATCTTTTCAGATTCTACCACTGGGAGTGGCAAATTTAAAGTTTGGTTCTTCTAGAAGTGACATTGTTTCCTTGACATTTAAGTTTTTTTTAAAAAGATTGTGTGGTTCATCAGGCCTCTCCTCTTGCTTCCTATCATCCTTCCTTTTAGCACAAGGAAAATGTTTTGGAAGCAAGCCTGCCATGACAATTATATATATATCCAGAAACAAGGTCTTTTTCCTCCCCTTTAATTACCTTGTAAATTTCTAATATCCTAGACAGTATCCTTTAAAATTTGAACAATGTGTAATGATTGCATGCTACTTATTTTTGATAGGATGGAGGTGTGCACACATTACCTGTTCCTGTACTAAACCAGCAAGAAATAGACATTTATGTCCCCATTGCCCTTTCACCAAACATTTTGACATTTCCGTGGCAGCCAAGAGCAGGAGCCTATCAGTACACAATAAAGGTAAGTGTTAAGAGCCACTTAAATGCAGAAAACAGTCAAGTTTCGCTATTAGGTGCCTTGTGATTCTTATTAAATTTTGAAGCTGCTATCATATTTCCGAAGCTGCTATCATATTTCCGTTAGAAACTGCAATTTTTTTACAGTTTTGCAGCAGGTGGGTGCCTGCTGTTTTAAACGCTGCATTTTGTTTTATGGCTCACACTTATAATTCAGGAGCCTTCCTCTAAACGAAGTATGATTGCAGAACACAACCTGTGCTAGCAGAAATTGACAAAGAGAAAACAGATAAAAATGCTTGTGGTTTGATGCATCCAGGTTCCATAAGTTAGCAGCTGCATTGACTGCCAAGAATACGTTTGGGAAAGAATGAGCATGGCCCCTAGAGCACAGCATTGACATACTTCACTTCCTCTGTTTCATTCACTAGAGCAATAACGTTGTTATTGGAAGGCAAAGGCCATAGCATTATTTATGGTAGATCTTCCAACCATGACTTTTCTCCTGCACTTTTCATGCTTCCTTCATTTCCAAAGAATAAGTTTAACCGGAACCATCTTTTGATTAAACTTTTTTGAGGAAAAAACAAACTGCTAGTCCAGGAAGGTTTTGTTGGTTTACATATATATTTTTACAAGTAGTATGAATTTGTTGAAACCTTTGATAGTGTTTACAAAAGTGTTCAGCTCTTTATAAAAATGCTTTTTCACAAAAAGAGAAATATGTAGTAAACATACCTATAAAAATCAGAAAAAATACTTTATGGTCTTTTCTTGTAAAACTGTATAGATAAAAGTCAAATAAAAATAAAGCTAATTTATCTCATAGGAATAATACTGTTTACATTTTGAAGTTAATGGTATGCATTCTTTTCCAACTCAAGTCAAAATTGAAAGAATAGTTTCTTCTAAGTGGTTTCCCCAAATTTGTAGCAACATTCTCCTCTATCCGTACATAGCTGCAGGGTGTGAATTTTAAGGACACATTCAAAAATAGATGTATCTATGTATAAGGAAAGGTCCAGTGGGTTGGGGATGTGACTTAGCAGTAGAGCACATGCTTTGTATGCAGAACGCTCCAAGTTCAATAACTGGTATTTCCAGTCAAAGGTATTAGGAGCCGCAAAAGACTTCTCTGCCCGAGACCCTGATGAGTCCTGCCACTAGATAGCAATAATGAACTGTATGAACGAATACTCTGAGTTATGATAAGGCAGATTCATGTGTTCATAAAGGTCCTGTATGGTTCTTGAATTCACAAAGTTTACATTACTATTCATTACCTACTATGGTTCATAATATGCCCTTTTCATATAACTCATCTTTCAGTGCCATCACAGCAACAGTATTTTCTGTGCTAAATACTATCTCTGTATAATAATCCTCTTAGCGTATTGGCCGTTTCCAGCTCTCCCATTGGCTGTGCAATACGCTCCATCAGCCATTGGCCCGCTAGCCGCCACTCAAGAGTACTCGCGTGCCATTGGCTAGATGCTGGGTCTGCTCCTCTTCCCCACCCACTCATACTTCAGCCACTGTTCCCTGTCAGAATAACTTTTAAACAGCTGTCTCTCCTGACAAATACACTTCTCCTGCTTGGCTCCTCTGTGGGACTAACTTTTCCCTTAGTGGCTGTTGGTAGGCAACCAAGCTTGGTTCTGTCAATAAAAAGACAAAGGAAGGAAACCCTTCCAGGCCTTTGTGAGGAACTCATTGGAGCCAGTCCTGACTAGGGTTGCCAGTTCCAGGTTGGGAAATTCCTGGATATTCTGTGTCTAAGGAAGCCAGAGTTTGGGGAGGAGAGAGGCCTCAGCTGAACAGAATGCCATAGAGTCTACCCTCCAAAGCAGTTATTTTCTCCAGGGGGGTGGGGTGGAGAGAGATCTGTTATTTGGAGTTCAGTTGTGCTACCCAGCTACCTTTAGGCTCCACCTGGAGGTTGGCTACCCTAGGCATAGCAGTTAGGCTTCAGAGCAGGGTCTGCCAGACCCAGGTTCTTGCTGTGGAAGCTGTGATTTCAGACTAGTCACAGACTTTCAGTGTAACCCCCTCCCCCGCCCACTGCCAACTTGGCCACTTTCCTATCAGAACAAACTGTGAAAATGGCTCTCTCCTGCTTATCTCCGCCATAGCTGGCTGGCTACCGAGGCGGGCCAGTGGCTGTCAAATCATTCTCTTCAACCCCCTGCTGTGTGGCTGACTTTCCCCTAGGGTTGCCAATCTCCAGGTGGGACCTGGAGACCTCACACTGTTACAGTTGATCTCCAGATGACAGAGATCAGTTCCCCTGGAGAAAATGGCTGCTTTGGAGGCTAGACCCTATGGCATTATACCCTGCTGAGTCCTTCCACCCCCCCCCCAGTGCTGCCCTCCACAGGATCCACCTCCCAAATCTCCAGGTATTTCCCTAATCAGAGCTGGCAGCTGTCCTTTCTCCTGAGTGCCTGTTGCTAGGCAACCAGGTTCTGTCAGTAAAAGGCCCTTTCCACACCTATTTTGGCCTGTCATGATCTGGGCTGTGCCACCAGAGGCCTACTAGGCCCAGGGAGCCTGGCTAGCAGTAAGGGAGACTGGGCTTACAAACCCCAGAAGGCCTTTATAAGTTTTGGCGCCGATTTTGACCAATAGGGAAGAAGAGGGCTGGGGAATATAGGAACTGGTACAAGAGGGAAAGCTGTTCTTCTTCCCAAGGAACAGAGCCTTAAGGGACTGAGGCTGCTGTGGGGAAGAAACCTTCATCCTGAGGGGAGGGTGAGTAGTCTAAGGTCACTGGATAGTGATCTAGGGACAGTATATATCTAGATGCATTAGGGCATTTGATTTCTTTTCACTCACTTATTGTTATTATTCTGTACCTTGTTTGTTTGACCTCCTATAAAATAAACTATTTTCATTGTTCACTCTGCCTGGTCCTCATGTCTATTATTCGGCCAAAAGGGAGGACTAAAGGCCTGGGAGGGTGCTCTGGGCCTACTCAGAGGAGCCTGGAACCAGAGTGGGGGCTTCGGAGCACAGTAAAGGCTGCAGGCGGGGGGGAGACGGAAAGCCGAAGAGTGAGGGGCAGATAACAGCAGGTACTCCACCCTCCAAACCAGCCATTCCCTTCTGGGGAACCATTGTTGCCAATCTCCAGCTGAGGGCTGGTGATCACTCAGAATTACAACTGCTCTCTAGAAGGGAGGGGGGAGGAGATGGAAAGCTGAAGTCAAAGGGCAGATAAAGGTAGATTGATGGTTGGCTGGGAGGGAGATAGTGTTGCCAACTCCAGGTTGGAAAATTCCTTGGGACTTGAGGGGTGGAGCCTGGAGAGGGTGAGGTTAGAGGAGGGGTGGGACCTCAGGTACAATGCCATAGACTCCACCCTCCAAACCAACCATTTCCTCCTGCGGAACCATTGTTGCCAGTGTCCAGGTGGGGGCTGGAGGTCACTCAAAATTACAACTGCTCTTCAGGTAGCAGAGATCAGTTCCTCTGGAGAAAATGGTGGACTCTGTGTCATTATACCCTGCTGAGGTTGCCACAACAAATTGATGCTGAGTTCTCAAGGCCGGGGCACTCTCCCAAAGCCTCTTTCTAGAGCTCGCTGTATTTATTTCCACAATGGGCCTTATTCCTAGTTTGTAATAATTGGTAAGATAAGGCTACAGTCCTATGTGCACATACCTGAGAGCAAGCACGATTGACCACAGTGGAACTTACTTCTGAGTAAACATCCATAAAATTGTGCTGCATAGTGGACTGATTCCCTTCACTAAAGCACAGAGTTAACACTATGTTTCTTACCCTGTGCATCAGTTGCACAAATGTTCTAGGTGTATCTTAAGGATTGCCTACTCCCATATAAATGTACCCATCCATTCTGGTAATCTTCAGAGGCCCTGCTTCAGGTGCCCCTGCCATCTGAGGTTAGATGGGTGGCAATCGAAGAAAGAGCTTTATTGGTCATGACACAAACTTTGGAACTTTACCTCCAGGGAGATTCACATGTCTCCTGTCATCATCTTCCACCAGTGGGTGAAGACCTTTTTTGTTTGGTTTGGTGTTCCCCCACTAATTGTTATTGGCCCTCCTCCCTTATTGCATTATGATGTGTATTTGTATGTTTTAGTCAATTGTTTGAAAATTTTATGTATAGTTATATTTTAAATGCTGTTTCAATGCCCTGATGTTTTAATGTTGAAATGTTTTGATGTTTGCCTCCTTGGTGACCCTATTGGGGGTGGAAAGGCGGCATGGAAATGTTTTAAATCAATCAATAAATATTTATGTTTACTTCCTCTGTAACAAGCTTCAATCCATCTCCTGAATTAAAGCACTTGCTTGAGGTAAAAGTCACATTCTAAGTTCTGATCTCTTGAGCAGTCCCTTCCTAATACTTTATTGTAACAAATGCTTTGAAGAACCAAACAGGATTTTCTCCCCTTTAGAAAGCCTCCCACTCCCACTTGTATAGTTACCAAGCGACCATTGCTGGATCAAGAATGATACCATGGTAATAACAAATGGAAAGTTAATTGTCTTGATCCACAGAAATTATATACCTGCATTGACTGAAATATGTACGTGGGCAGATCTGCTAATTCATTGAACCATAAAACTGAAATGTCTGTAAAATGTCTCTGACATTTTATATGATAAATCTGAATCACTCTGAAAAATCAGGCCGTTTAACGTTGCCTTGTATTAAAGTTTGCGAGAGGAAATGAAGTATCTTGCTCTATTTCTGTACTATTTATAATAATATTTGATTCACAAGCTACCTGCAGGATCCTTCTGGGTGTTGCATGCCATCAAGTCACTTACAACTTATGGCGCCCTATGAATTAATGACCTCCAAAAAGTCCTATGATTAACAGCTTTGCTCAGGTCTTTCAAACTGAAGGGTGAGGCTTTATCTTTTTAGGCTCTTTATGCTACAGAAATTAGCTGATGCTAAACTAAGCAAATGCATTGCTGTAAAGCTTCCTGCATGAACGGCATAGTATGGGAGGGCCATGGCTCAGTGATAGTACATCTGCTTGACATGTAGAAGGTCCCAGGTTCAATCTGCAGCATCTGCAGTTTAAAAAATCTGGCAGTAGGTGATGTGAAAGACCTCTCCATAAGATCCTGGAGAGCCACTCCCAGTCTGAGTAGACAATACGGACCTTTATGGACCAAAGGTCTGATTCAGTTTAAGTACTCCACTTCATATGTTCACCTGTATTAATAGATTTAGGATATATTTGAGTTATTTAATGGATTAATAAGAGAAAAATGTTTAATTAAAATTTTTTAAAAGTAATGCCTTTCCCCTTCATGCCGCTCCCCCCCCCGCTTTCTTCAACATGCTAGTTTTAAAAATAATTCTGTATGCCTTCTCAGTGTATGCAGCTCTCCACAAGATACCCAGGAGGAAATTTAGCATACAGGAGCACTGCAGAGAGGGTGGATGGATATGATTCAGAATTGTGCCATTAGTGTTTTTCTCTTTCCCATAATTAATTACACAGATTAGATTTACATTGCCAGTTTTTTTCTTATGGTGGTGGGGAAGATGTATGTCAAGATTTTATGTGACTACAGAGCTGAAGCAGATGATGTGCATCTTTGGTATCTATAGCATACCAAGATATCTTGCTGCTCAGTGCATGAGGTCATTCATCAAAGTCTCAGGCTATGAAAGTATAATTTTGGTTTTTGTGTTTAGTCCACAAAAATAAAGCTAAACTTCCGAAAAAGTTCTCGAACATCTTCTGTAGGCTGCTGAGGTTTGATTTCAGGAAAGGACTTGGACCTGAAGATACATAAATTGAATCTTTAAAGAGTCTGACAAAGACTGTAATGTGCGAAAGTGGTACAGACCTCTGTGAGTCTCATGGTAAATAAAAGTACTCTTCATTGTTGTCAGTCACCGACTTCTGATGAGTTTCTGGAGCCATGAATATACACTGCTAACCTCCCCTTAAGGCTAAAAATAAAGACACAATGACAGCAAGAAATCAATTTTCACTCTTTTCTTTGCCCCCTTTTGCCATTTATACTTTGCAGCAATTCCCATTGGTAGAAAACACTTTCAGCAGTACACAGGTTAGCTGTACTGAGACTTAAAATCATTCAGTTGTCTGTCTTTGGCTTTCAGTAACAGGAAATTAATCAGCGTCCTAAAAAATACAGCAATTCTATAAGCTGAGCCTCTTGTGTGCTGACTTGTGAAATGATATGCTGACTACAGGCACTATTAATCACTGAGATATGTCCAAGTATCAAAATTTTTGCAGAGGGATAAGCAATAGGAGTGAAGTGGGTGGCAGTTATAGTAACAGACAAAACGTCTATGTGCAAGGGAGTGAGAGAATAAAATGCAGTGAAGGGAGGATAGTTGATGTTTCTGGTATAACAGAATTCTTTCCTCTGTTTCTGACTTGACTAGGGATGCCACAGATTTTTTTTTAACGAACCCACTGGTTTGCAGCCGAACATACCCTTTTCTCCATTCACAGTCAGACCATAAGCCAATAAAGGATGTGTTCAGCTCTAATCAAGCAACATCTGCTGAAAGAGGTGGTAGCTGCCTGTTAATCAGAAGGCAACTCCCATCTGATCTGGGTATCAGATGGGAGTTGGTTTATGCTCCTCTACTACTTCCCTAGCCTTCTTATGCTGGAACACAGGAAGGCTGTGTGTGGGTGTGGAGGGAGGAATCAGAAGTTAACTCACAGCTGATGGGGGATAAGCTGGAAATGGGCTTTTGATCCCCCTCCCCTCAGAAAAATTGCTCTACTGTGGTCCCGTTCACACGCGGCTATTTGGTCCGGGAGCGGGACAGTTCGGGGCCGGATCAAACCGGCGCGATCACACCACCACATCTGGGAAGCGTCTTGCTTCCGTGGCCGAACTGTCCCTTTCCCGGGATAAGCCGCACCAAACTAAACCACCTATCTAGGTGGTTTAAAGGGAAGTGGCGCGGCAACTGGGGCGTTTGATCGCCGCCGCTTCCCTGCGCCGGCTCAACCCCGGCCCGGATCCGAACTGCGCATGCCCGGACATGCGCAGTTCGGCCGGCCCCCGGGTAGGGCGTGTTTTCTCCCCGGCGTTTGATCGCGCCGGGGAGAAAAGGCGGCGCGGCCGGGGGATCCGTGAGATCCCGCCGCGCCGTGTCAACATTGGCGCGGCTTTTAAAAGCCGCGCCTTCAAGCGCCTTTTCCCCTGCGTGTGGCAGGGGCCTGTGATGTGGGAGATCAGAAGAGATTAGCTTCTGTTCTCCCATTGCAATTGAAAGAAGAGACATGGATTGTTTCTTTACCTTCCCTCCAGGCTGAGGGGAAAGAAACCAAAGCAACTTTTCTGAGCTCTCCATTGCAACAGAGAAAGGAGAGGAGAGTGTTTGTCTTCCATCTCCTCCAAGCTGAGTGGGAGGACATAAACAATGCTTCTAATCTCTCCATTGCAGAAGAGCAGAATCTTTTCTATGCAGCCCAAGCTGACAGGTTGGGGTAGGAAGAAGAAATGTGGTCTGTTTCTTGTATCCTAGCTCAACTGTGAAGAAAAAGAGTGATCTTCTCTCTACAGTCCATGCTTGACAGCATGGGATACGGATAAGAGAATGGGAGTCATCTGGGTTTCTGATCACCATCCCAATTTGCTGCATGTCAGAAAGTCTGGGACACAGCAAAGCTTTGAAGTTGGGAGATCTGAAGTACCTAACTTCCAGCTGATCCCCATGATCAATGGAAGCCAGTCTTGACCCCCCCCTTGCTGATTACAAAGCAAAAATTTCCTTAGCATGAAATCAGAAGCCAGCTCCTAGCTGATCCCTCATCAAGAGGGAGTTGGCTTGTGATGGTTGTGAATAGCCTGTTCCGGCAAATGAATGTGAACAACCCCATTGATAATTTGGCTACCTTATTGCCACTGGTGAATCAGAAGCTACCTGAATTGGCAGGTGTTTAAGCAACCCTAGATTTGACAGTTCCAGGCTAGAATTGTATTATATACACCAAGTGTTCTTGGAGGATGCTAATATCCTGGATCCTTTCCAGTCTGGTTTTCGTCCTGCCCATGGAATGGAGACTGTGTTGGTCGCATTGGTAGATGATCTCCGGAGACATCTGGATCGAGGCAGATTGATGCTGCTGATTCTCCTTGATCTGTCAGCAGCATTTGATACAGTCAACCATGAGTTGTTGACCCACCACCTCGCTGATGTGGGGATATGGGAACTAGCCTTACACTGGTTGGCCTCCTTTCTCCAAAGTTGGAGATAGAGGGTGGTGCTGGGGGGGGGAGTTGTCTCGGTGACAACGACTTGAATGTGGGGTGCCGCAGGGTGCAATTCTCTCCCCAATGCTGTTCAATATGAGCCCCTTGCCCAGATTATTTGGAGATACCGGCTGGGCTGTCACCTTTATGCTAATGACAACCAGATCTACCTGCTAATGAACGGCTGCCCGGACTCTGCCCCTGAACATCTGGACTGTTGCTGTGGCTTGTTAGTTACAGCAGAGCGGACTGAAGTTGAATCCATCAAAGACGAAGGTCCTGGGCCATGGGGAGCCAGGGTTGGGCATTGGGCTCTCAGCCTTTGGTGGGGCCCAGTTGGTGCTGGCACCAAAGGTAAAGAGCCTGGGAGTGTTCCTGGATACCTCATTGTCTTTGGAGGCTCAGGTCACTGCCACAGCCAGATCAACCCTTTTCCATCTGAGGCAGGTCAGGCAGGTGGCCCCATATCTTGCCCCTCGTGTCCTGGCTGCAGCGATCCATGCAATGGTCACTTCCAGGCTAGTTTATTGTAATTCTCTCTATGTGGGGCTGCCCTTGACTCTGCTCTGGAAATTGCAGCTGGTGCAGAACGTAGCAGCACAGGTATTGATGTCGCTGCCTGTGTGGGCCCACATCCGCCCGGTGCTGCACAAATTGTACTGGCTGCCTATTGAATACTGGATCCATTTCAAGGTGCTGGTTCTTACCTTTAAAGCCCTATACCTATATGGCCAGGGGCCTGCATATCTTTGAGACCGCCTCTCCCCATATGAGCCCCGGAGGGCATTGTGCTCTACAAATCAACATCTGCTGATGGTCCCTGGCCCTAGGGATATCCGACTTGCCTCAACTAGGGCCAGGGCTTTTTTGGCCTTGGCCCCTGCTCGGTGAAATGAGCTCCCACCAGAAATTAGGGCCCTGCGAGAGCTTCTACAGTTCCTCAGGGCCTGCAAGACAGAGCTCTTCTGCCAGGCCTTCAGTTGAGGCAGCGGGTATCCAATTCAATTGCCTCCCCCCTCCTTCCCCCTATAATTTGCTCTTATGTGTCTGTTGAGGTATAATTTATTTTAGTGTTGTACTTATTTTATTGTATTTATTGTATGTATTTTGTTATTCTGTTTTTATGATGTACATCCACACTCAGCAGATTATTATAGGTTGGAACCCGCCCTGAGCCTGCTTTGCGGGAGGGCGGGATATAAATTGAAGGAAATAAATAAATAAGTATTATAATAGCTAATTGGATGGTATCCATGTCTCAGTGTATTTCTAATAAAATCATATCTGATTGATTTCTTTTTCATTTATGGTTTTAGGCTCAAGGTGGAAGCGGCAACTTCACTTGGTCTACATCTAACCAAAATGTTGCTACAGTGACAGTTAAGGGACTAATGACAACTGGAAATGATATTGGTGTCAGTGTGATACGTGCCAGTGATGTTCAGAACCCATTACACTATGGGGAAATGAAGGTAAACAATATGTACTTTGTTCTTTCTTGCAAGAAGTCCTTATCAGAGGCTGTGGGGAAAAAGCCTCTGTAGCATCAGTAAAGAAGCAGAGAAATTCTTAAACCTTGAACCTTTCTGTGTTTAGGGCATTTTGCTTGCAAGGTTCAGAGCAGACAGGAAGTGTTGGACATTTTTATTTCTCCTCTTCCATGAGAGGGTCTTCCTAGATGAAATATTGATGTTTGTTAAAGAGCAGCTGCCTGAACTAAGCAGATTAATGCTAACTCAAAATATTGTGGAAGCAGTTTTGTATGCATGGTACTGTAACAGGCTATTATTACTCTCACATCCAACTAGAGAATCTGCATTAAACAATTTTGAAAAGGTCTTTGCTTATTCAAACCATTTAGTGGCAGTCTCCAGAATTTATGTATTAAGGGTTGTTTATCAACCTTTAAATCTGGTAATACAAAGAAATAAGTTGTGAGTTCTGTTCTTTGAACTATAACCAGCAAACAGGACCAAAAATACTCAGAGACTTTTTTCTTTTAATGGAAAAAGTCCTCTTTATTATGCAAGACAGTAATAAGTATAGGCATGTGAAAATTACCCCTACAGTTACTGTAAAAATAAGTGCTGAAATTATCAAAGTTCCTAACATTGCTCAGTCATGTTATAGTGAGTAATATTTTTCAGGTTTTTGTCTCACCGCGTTTAGGGATTATCAGCAAACCCAAGTCACACACACCCAGAAATCATGCTTAATCCTCTTCTGAAATTTCCATCCAGTGAAATCTGATTTGCTTATCACAGTAATGCATATCTATACAAAAATGTCAGTCTTATCTTTTTTTCTACATCTTTTCGATCATAATCATGTGATACTATCTAAATAAGTTATTGGTTCCTGACAAATATGAAATAATCAACACAAGTGCAAATGAGCCAATCAGCAGATGCATGTGAGTTACATCTGACAATGCAAGATAAGGCCAATCTTAACTCAACCTCTATTAAAAAGCGATTCATCTAACTTTTCTCTAACTTTTTCAATTAACTGTCAAAGATTAAAATAACTTTAAGCAAACAGATCATTGATAGTTGAAGAGTCCGTGAGCTCTTGGTTAACAAGAGTTAGCATGAGAAATGATGACATAATCAGCTATTACTACAGTATCATACAGCTGAAAAAAGCAGGTTATAATTGAAAAATTCACAAATAATAAGGCAACTATGTTAGGCAGCAGCACTATAATGAAACCGGAATCGAGTAGCACTTTCAAGATTCAAAAGTTTTATTCCAGCATTAGGTTTCATGAGTCAGTTCACTTCATCAGGTGCATGAAGTATATATTCCTAAGGCCAGTCCACAGAAACATAGAGCTGGAAGGTACCTCAAGAGTCATCTAGTCCAACCCCTTGCATAATATGGGAAAATGCACAACTACCTCCCCCCCCAACTCCCCTGATGACCCCTGCCATTTACATCATACCTCCTCTGCTCCATTTAAGCACAGGGTTCTATTGCATCCCAAAACCTCCCACTTTTTTTTTGCTTTAAAATCCAACATAAAACAGTATTGGGGCCCACGAAAGCTTGGCACTACTTTGTGACATTTTGGTTGGCTCTAATAAAGGTCTTACTCTATGGTTGGCTTGTGGATAAACATATAGGAAGCCTTGGCTATCCCAGTGAGTCCCAGAAATCAATCCAAGGCAGTGAGTCTGTGGCATCACAAAAATCACACAAGACCAGAGCATCAAACGATCATAAAGAAATGCTATATAACAGCACCAGGACAAAACTGAACTGATTTCAACAGCCACACAAGGAAGAAGAGGAAGAAGAGATTGGATTTATACCCCCACCTTTCACTACCCAAAAGAGTCTCAGAGCAACTTACAATCCCTTTCCCTTCCCCTCTCCACAACAGACACCCTGTGAGGTAGTTGGGGCTGAGAGAGAACTCTCAAGAACTGCGCTTGAGAGAACAGCTCTGAAACAACTTGTAACTGACCCAAGGTCACACCAGCAGCTGCTTGTGAAGGAGTGGGGAATCAAACCCATTTCTCTCAGATTAGAGTCCGCACTCCTAACCACTACACCAAACTGGAAGGAAACTGTAATTCTGGGAAAACTCAGGTGGGTCACAGAGTGGCTGCAGTCAGCTCTCTTTTGGGAGAGACACCTCTCCCAGGGCAGATTTGCAAAGATTTTTTAAAAGTTTATTTGCCTTATTTATATCCCACCTTTCTTCCCAGTGGGGACCCAAACTGGCTTACCTCTTCTCTGCAATTTTACCCTCACAACAACCCTGTGAGGTAGGTTAGGCTGAGAGAGTATGACTGGCCCAAGGTCACCCAGCAAGCTTCCATGGCATGAGTGGTGATTCAAACCCGGCTCTCTCAGATCCTAGTCTGACACTCTAATCACTACACCAAGCTGGCTCTCCACTAAGCATCACTAAAGGGTCCTTCTAGGGACCTCACATTGCAGAAAGAATATTTCTCTTGCAGAGCCACATTCCTTCCTGGCACCCCTGAGACCCAAAGAGACAAATCTGCAGCTTCTCTAGCTGAGAGGAGGGGGGCGGTCAGGCTTTCTGGAGCAAAGGGCCACCTTCCCGGGCCCTGAGTAACAGCAGTTTGCCTCTGGAGACCCTCCTGTGGGATCCAGTCACCCAGTTCTGTGGCAGAAGTGTTTCCAAGAGACCTGAACAAGATGCCTATGGAGAGGGAGAGAGGGAAGGGGATGCTAGTTTACAGTCCATATATCTCATTGTTAATGTGTCCCCACTTGTGGATACTTAAAACCAGAGATGAGAGCCATCGACAGACATGGCACATCTTTCTGCGAACCTGAGACACACCCCAGGTTTGCATAAAAATTTGAAATGTAAAAAAAAAAATACATTGTGGGGAGGTTGACCCCCCCCCCCAAAATCAGGGAAGCAGATCCTGTGTAAGAAATGGATGCCCTTTGAAATCTTAGTGACCATTGTGGGGGTTGCCACAAAAATACTGTTAGTTTTCAAACCTTGGTTTCTGTCACTAAAAGGTGTAGGAGGAAGGGAAGAGCAGGGCCCTTTACAGCACTATTTTGGCCTTCCAGTCCACCTTTGCTCACCTCCATGCTTCCCTGGAGGGAAGGCTCTTCAGGAACAGGACCAGCAGCAACCATTGGGCAACTTGCTGCCATGCAATTTGTGCAACTTACTGCAAAGCAACGGTGGCTACAACTGGGTGCTAAACAACTCGCCTGAGACCAGTGGCACCCTCCACAACTTGCACAACTTGGCCAAGCCTAGCGATAGCCAACACACCACTCACCAGAGCAACTTGTTAGCACACAGCTCTTGCAACTTGCCTAGACTTTTCCTGGGAAGAGACTGCCAGGAGAGGGAAGACCGCAGAGCAATGAGTCAGTGTGGTTAGTGGTTAAAGGGTCAGACCGGGAAACAGGTTAAAATCCCCACTCTGCCATGGGAGCTTGCTTGGGTGACATTGGGCCAGTTATGCACACTCAGCCCAATCCACTTTACAGGGTTGTTGTGAGGACAAAATGGAGGCGAGGAGAACGATTTAAGCTGCTTTGGGGTTCCCCATTTGGGGAGATAGGTGGCATATAAATGAAGTAAATAGACTATAAAGAAAGCTGAAGACATTGTGGGAGGGAAAATAAAAGAAAGGTCGGATGGTAAGTGGGAAAGAGGGCAGGAATACGGGGGGAAAAAGAAGATGATATGGGACTACTAGGAGGATGCAAGGAGGAAATAGTGTGGACAAGGGGATTCAGGGGGAAACGGAGTGACCCCTGCAAGTCCCTGCGAGTCGCATGCTTGTGAATTTATATTTAAGGCTTCAAACACCAGAAACATGGAGGAGGAAAAGAAATGTTGCAAAGAGAGGCCAGATCCAATGAAAAGAGTAATCAATACACTCAGAGCAGGTGAGAACCACTTCTAACTATTGCCAGTTATTCAAAGAGGATTAACATAAAATATGGTCTAGAAAAGTGCAGGGTAGAATGTGAAAAGCAGGTCTTGTTAGAAAGTTATAAAGGTGTAGCTGAACACATTTGTAAGGGGTGAGTTATGAAAGATATTATGATTTTGCCTTGGATTCTCTCTTTTAAAGTTCTTTTATAGGATAAGAATGACTTTTCACCCACTGATTTCTGAATGTTCTGGTTTTTAATGTCAGACGGGTGTCCATTTGACGATCCTTTTATGCAGAGACTGACCTGTGTGTCCAGTGTATTATGTTCTGATGAAGTCAGCTCTGTCTCACAAAAGCATTTGCTGAAATAAATTTTGTGAGTGTCTGAAGAGCCACTGGACTGTTGTTTTACATATAAGGCAAGTTCCTTTGTATAGTCAGATCTTAAAGTTAAACAATACTTCTTTTATCCATGGAACAAATGTTATCCTGCAGAAGTTGGGAGGTTCATATCTTTATATTCAGCTTCAATCTTCTGTGCAGCCCCACATTGGGACTGCGCTTGTACAGACCAGCCACCGGAGGCTCTCTTACAGCTAATCTGGTACTATTCAACACTCTAGGGGGAGCCATGTACACAGTGCAATACGAGAATGACTCATTTGGATGAGCACCTACTATGCTTTTTCTGTTTTGGTGAGGCCGATAATATAGCCATGTGCAAAATTTGTCTTCAGTTTAACCTGTAAGGCTGCTCAGATAGAGCAGGGCAGCTAAAGGCGAGCCTATGGGAGAAAGCGCTATTGTGCTCTAATAGCCCGGCAGCAAAGATAACCACTCTGGCAGAGCATAGTCAGTCCCTACCATTGAAATCACCAGTTAGAACCGACCACCTTATGAGTCCACCTTCGATTGTTGCAGTTCCATCGGTTCCAGGGACAGATCTAAAGTGTCAGGTCCAACCACCTGCCTGTTTGACTGAGCAGTGTTCATCGTAAGCAACATTTAAGGAAGCCCATTCTAAATCAAAACACAAGGGAAAAGATTGTGCCCGTTCCAAGACACTCACGGAATCATGCAGC